AAAAAAAAAAAAAAAAAGAGCAGGTTTGCGGTCCTATAGAGCCTAGTGAGACCCCTGAGATTATGGCCCGTAGTTAACCTTCAGGTCTGGAACTGAACTCACTCCCATGGCTTCCAGCCAAACAACAGACAGGCATAGAGGATGAACATTTACATCAGGTAGAGCGATCAATCATGGGCGAGCAGAACGGCGGTATTTGCACAGGTAAACAGGTCAGGGGTGAGTGCTGGAGCCCATGGGAGGGAAGGACACAGGAAGAGGTAACTACAGGGAGGAAGTGGGAAGAGAGCTGTTCCATTGTGGGGAATTGCAGTCAATGTCATGAGACAAAATGTGTATGAACTGCTGTATGGAAAATCATTTTGCTCTGTAAACTTTCACCCAAATCACAATAAAAATTTAAGAAGTGAATGAATGAGCCCGGGAGGAAAAGGACAGGGATCTTGGAAGGAATCCAGATAGGGCTTGACGTGCACTCTTTGCATCTAAGGATTTTCTTGCCTTCTCTCACTCCCAGGGAGCTCATTTGATAGATTGGATGACAGAGGCTGAAAGACCACAGATACCTGCAGGCGCCCTGTGGGAAGAGCTGTGCTGTTTCTCTGGGAGCTCCGGAGCAGGGGTCTACTCCGCCAGGGCTGGCGCCGGTCGCGAGTCTTCCACCCCAAACTACAACTCCCAGGAGGCATCCGGCGCTCTCCATCCGCGCGACGTCACGGCGGCAGAGAACGCAGGCGGCTGGGGCTCGCCCGGCCGGTGGACTGTTTGGGCCGTTCCGCTCGGACCTCAGCCCTGGCTCTGGTCCCGCGGTAAGTGCACTAACCTGCGCCAGCTCGGGCCGCGGAGGTGCCGCAGTGCGTAGCCGCTGCCTCTTCCTTTGCGCGGGGGCGCGGGAGTGCGTGAGGACCGGAGGAGGGGGGCTGGCATCCACCATATGGGGGACCCGAGTGGAGCTAAGTGACCGTGCGGAGAGGGAACCCGGAGAAGGACTTCTGGGGCCGCAGCCCCGGTGCAGCCGGCCCGCGGGCACACAGTGCCATGTGTCGCACGTACGTAGGCCAGGCCTCCCGGGCCGGGTCTGAAGGCGCAGGGTTGGGGGTCAGCCCCGCCCCCTGAGCGGAGGTGCCCAGGACCAGAGGGAGAGGGGAGAGGTTTCCGGGCTGGATGGGTCTGAGCATGCGCTCCTGCCCGCAGACATCTGTCAGATAGAGCCTCAGGTTGACTGATAGCAACGCAAGGTTGTAGGGGCCCGTCAGTGTTAGGGGATGTGGTTGAGAGTAGGCAGAGGTTGGCCAGTGCCCACGTGGAGAGGTGGTGCCGGTCTGAACGTGGAACCTTACAACTCCTCTCTCCCCGCCGCCGTAGATGGAAGTTCCTCCCCGGGGGCAGAGCTGGTCAGCGTCCTCGACTGACCCTCACCCTTGAAGTCAGCGAAGAGCGTTTGCCAGCCCTCCCCACCCTTTGGCCCGTTTTGGAGTGGCCTCCATTTTCCCGGTCCTCCACACTAGTGGCCACCCAGTCCGACAAAGGATCAGCACAATGATGCTGGCGTCAGTACTGGGGAGCGGCCCCCGCGGCGGGCCTCCGCTCCGGCCCCTCCTGGGGCCTGCACTCTCGCTCAGGGCCCGCTCGACCTCAGCCACCGACACGCACCAGGTGGAGATGGCTCGGGAGCGCTCCAAGACTGTCACCTCCTTTTACAACCAGTCAGCCATTGACGTGGCGGCTGAGAAGGTGCGCAGCTGAGGGGACCAGGCCCAGGGTCTGGAGCTGGGGCTGGTGTCCAGGGGAGGGGCGGAGCTCGTGTGGATGGGGCGGGGTGTTGGGGGCGATTCTTCGCTCACGGCCACCTCCTCCTCCAGCCCTCAGTCCGTCTCACTCCGACCATGATGCTCTATGCCGGCCGTTCTCAGGATGGTAGCCACCTTCTGGTAAGATTCCTGTCCCTCCTTTTTTCCCTTGACCCCTGGAGCTCTGCCCCGGCCACTTAGGCCTTGGACCTGCCTTTCCTCCCCTTATTCTTCTAGAAATTTGTGTTGTTGTTGTGTGTCGTCAAGTCAGCCAGGACTCATAGCAACCCCTCCTTGGGTTTCGGAGGCAGGGTATCACTACAGAAGTAGATTGCCTAACCTGCCTTCCGAGGAGTAGCTGGTGGGTTTGAACCACCAGCCTTCTGGTTAGCAGTCAAGTGCCTTAGGCACTATGCTACCAGAGCTCCTATTCTTCTAGAAAAGTGCCCGCTATCTACAGCAGGAGCTGCCAGTCAGGATTGCTCACCGCATTAAGGGCTTTCGCAGCCTGCCTTTCATCATTGGCTGCAACCCCACCATCCTCCACGTGGTAGGTGACCTCAAAGAAGTGTGAGTTTCCCCAGTGGAGAAAGTCTTATAGATTAGTGTGCCCACCTTCATGGGGTGACAGGGGTCTAGAAAGGCAGAGACTTGCCTGCCAAAAGGTTTCAGGACCAAACAGGACCCAACCCCAGCCTTCCAAGGCCAAGGCTACATTGGGGTGGGTGGTGAGCCCCAGGAGGAGATATGGGTAGCTGTTCATGGCAGCCCTGTGACTCCTTACACCTCTTCCTTATAGCACGAGCTGTACATCCGTGCCTTCCAGAAGCTGTCAGACTTCCCTCTGGTGAGGCCAGGGCAGGGTGAGGGACCGAGGGGCCAGGGCCAACCGCTTGTGCTCACAGCTCTGTGGCCTGCAGATCAAGGACCAGACGGAAGAGACCCAGTACTGCCAGCTGGTCCGACAGCTGCTGGATGACCACAAGGACGTAGTGACCCTCCTAGCTGAAGGCCTGCGTGAGAGCCGGAAGCACATAGAGGTCAGGGGCAGCCAGTGGGGGCCCAGGTGCGGGACTGGGACAGACACAGGGTTTCTGAGGCCCCATCTCTACCAGGACGAGAAGCTTGTCCGGTACTTCTTGGACAAGACGCTGACTTCACGGCTTGGGATCCGCATGTTGGCTACGCATCACCTAGCACTACACGAGGACAAGGTGGGGAGACCTTGAACCTGAAACCCAGCTAGGAGTGTCCAGGGTGGTGAGAGGACTAGGCCAGGGGCCCCCCTTGGCTGGGGACCCAGATCAAGACCTGAAGGAGAGGCCTGAGCTGTTTCAGTAGTCCAGAAGTTGCAGGCATCTGGCAGATGATGTAGGGACGGAGTTGTTGCCTGGTCCTAACTCTCTCTCTCTTGCCAGCCCGACTTTGTTGGCATCATCTGCACTCGCCTCTCACCAAAGAAGATTATTGAAAAGTGGGTGGACTTTGCCAGGTAAGGCTAGAACCACCAAGGGAGTGGATGTCTTGGGGAAAGGAGGGCTTAGGACGGAGCCTTTGCCTGATGCACGGTCATGGGTATGGTCATGGTCAACCTTGGCACTATCGACATTTTGGGCCAGATCATTCTTTGTTGGTGGGGGGCTGTCCTGTGCATGTTAGGGTATTGAGCATATCCCTGGATCTGCTTACATGATGCCAGTAGCTGCCCCCGCCCCCAGGTGTGATAATCAAAACTGTGTCTGGAAATCACCAGCTGTCCCTTCTGGGGAGCAGAACCACTGATCTCGGGGTAGCTGTCTGAACACTTGCTCTATCCATAGACGCCTGTGTGAACACAAGTATGGCAACGCCCCCCGCGTCCGTATCAACGGGCACGTGGCTGCCCGTTTCCCCTTCATCCCTATGCCGCTGGACTACATCCTGCCCGAGCTGCTCAAGAATGCCATGAGGTGGGCTGGTCAGATGAGCAGGGGAGCGGGGGAGGCAGGAACTGAGGTGCCACCACCTGCCAGGTCTATCCCTCCTTTACAGAGCTACAATGGAGAGTCACCTAGACACTCCCTACAACGTCCCAGATGTGGTCATCACCATTGCCAACAATGATATCGATCTCGTCATCAGGTTTGCCGAGTGGGAGTTGGGCAGGGGTGGAAGTGGTTCCAGGCACTGTTTCTGATTCACTGTATGACCTAAGCCAGTACCTTCCCGACTCTGGGACGTGGTGTTGGGTTGGACAAGATACTCTCTGGTCCGGAGATGCCCATGAGCTAGATATTAATGAATCTGGAGCCAGCTGTACGCCCTCGGGCTCTGCCACTGTCAACTGGTGAAAGGCCTGGAGTTGGAAAACAGGAATAAGCAATCTGTGGTGCTGGGCCAAGTGAATGTCAAGTCCCATGAGAAGGTTTAAGTAATTACCGTCCTAGGCATCAGTGAGGATGAAGGAGACCTCGCCAAGCAAGGCTGGGGTAGACAGTGTTCTAGAAATGGATAGGAGGGTAGACTTCACACTGTCTACTTGGGAGGTGGTAAATCCATGTGAAAGTTGAGCCAAGCCCATGTTTTTGGCATCCTGCCAGGATTTCAGACCGGGGCGGGGGAATCGCTCACAAAGACCTGGATCGGGTCATGGACTACCACTTCACTACGGCTGAGGCCAGCACCCAGGACCCCCGGATCAGCCCCCTTTTTGGCCACCTGGACATGCTCAGTGGTGGCCAGTCAGGACCCATGCACGGGTGAGGCCCCACTTGGCCAGGATGGAGGGATGGGGGATCCCAGGGGACTTCAGCCTCTGAAGACTCCTGTCCTGTCCCCTGCCCACCCTCAGCTTTGGCTTCGGACTGCCCACGTCACGGGCCTACGCTGAGTACCTTGGTGGCTCCTTGCGGCTGCAGTCTCTGCAGGGCATTGGCACGGACGTCTACCTGCGGCTCCGCCACATTGACGGCCGGGAGGAGAGCTTCCGCATCTGACCCCAGGGTCCTTGGCCTGCTTGCCCGCCCAGCCTGGGCCACGTTTCCTGTCGGGACCTTCCAGGTCAGGCAGGGTCCCGACCTGCTCCATTGGATGCTGCATGTTGGGTCTTAGGTCCCCAGACAGGTGGACTTATGTGGAGCTGGGCTCCCCCACCCTCAGTGGGGTCCACTGCTTCCCTGCCTTCAGGCCTTAGAAAGGGGAAATGGGGACCCCTGAGGCCTCCAGCACCAGCTCCATCATTCTCGGTCCTGGGGGGACCCCCACTTTGACCTGCTGTTTGTTATTAAAGTTCACATTTTGAATGCCCTTTGGGGCCCTGTGTTGGTAGACAGGTGAGCTTTTGCTTCTAGTCCTGTGCAGGTTTCCTGGGTTCTCGGGTTTAACTGGTTCATGTCCCAGTCTCTGTCCCGACACACCAGGCGTGGAAGTAGCTCCAAGTCTCTTGCGCCTTTGATTTGGTCAGATTGGGAGTGACTTTGATAGCTTGTGCAAAGACCAATCTTTTATTTAACACGTTTATGGGTCCCGGGCAATGTTGAAGGCCCAGGCTGGGCCAGCTCCAGCCTCTGTTCTCAGTCTTCCTTTCCTGCCAGTCATGAGTTCTAGATGTGAAGGTCACCCGACTGGGCAACCTCCTGATTCCTGAGCCTGAGTAAGGTTAAAAGTATTGCCTCCCGGCTGTATCTACTGCCGCCAAGGGAGGGAACACGCAAGGTTGTTGTTTCCTGACAGGCCCCAGCAAAGACTGGGTGCTCCCCTGCAGAGGAAGGTGGAGCCCTGGTAAGGGGCCAGGGAGTTGGGCGAAAAGAAAAGGGCCCAAGATAGCAGATTACACTCAAGGTTACACTCGAAGCAGAACTTCCTGATGGGGTTTCAGGTGGGACCCTCCTGCCCATCTTACCAGGGAAGGAGAAGGCAGGCCTGAGGGCTCGTCTAGTGGGGTTACGAAGACGTCGTCCCTTTGTCTCTGTCCTCACATCTCTGCGCTCTGACAGCTAACTCCCTGAGGCTGGCTCTAGACCTACCCATTTCCTACCCTCTGGGGTGGCAGGTGGTTAGGGGACTGCGAGGAGACAGGAATTGATTTTGAAGGTGCAATGGCAGGTGGTGGGAAACCACATGATTTTCTGGGCTGTAAAACCGCTGTCAGCAGGGCAGCGAGGGTGAAGCTGGAGAACAGGGCAGGAATCAGGACAGAGAGCCTTCAGTGGGCAGCCAAGAGCCTGGGCTTTATTCTGGAGGCAGGGAGGATCCATGGGCAGGTTTGAAGCTAAGAACGGCTGTCTCTGGTTGGATTCTGTAGCAGACCCTGAAAGGATTCATATCCTAGTTATCAGTTAAGACTGTGCCCCCAGGAAAGACCCAACGGGAGCAGGGGAGGGGAGGGGAGGGAGCCAAGCAGGGATGAGATCTCAAGCAAAAGATCCAGAATGAGTAGGTTATGCCTCAGAGTCGGAAGTGAGGGATCTAAGGTCACCGGGCATTGATTAACAACTGCACTCGCCAATCATTCATTAATGGCCATGCTGGGAAATGGGAGTGGGTACGGACTTAAATTCCCCGATTGATATCTTACCTCTTCAGCATTTCCAGGCAGAACAACTCTAGCAGCATAGATCATGAGGGCAGTTCACCCGAGGGCCTTAGGTGCTGGCCTTTGCAAGCACATAGAGAAAGGGGATCCCGGGGATCTGGGCAGAGCACCTACTGGGTCCGAGGAGGAGTCAGACTGGCATGTTAGAAGAATCACTGGTGGCTCGTGGGCTAGAAAACGAGGCTGATGCCGTGACCCTGATCAGGGATTTGTAAGGCCTCTTTGAATCCTGGGGCACATTGTCAGAAGGGACCAGTCCCTGGCGAAGGATATCATGCTTGGTAGAGAGTCAGTGATAAAGGCAAAAACCTTCAATGAGACGGACTGACACAGTGGCTGCGACGCTGGCTCAAGCACAGCGAGGGCCGTGAGGGGGCGCAGGGCCATTTTACTTAGGGTCACCGTGAGTCGGAGCTGACTCAACAGCACTTAGGAGCAACAGTCTCATCCTTAGCTAGAAAGGACAGCACTGGTAACTGCAAGTGTCTGGTTAAGTCAGAAGTTAGCCACAAGGGCCCTGGGTGGATAGAATAACAATCCTGAAGATGGGGGGGGGGGTCATTAGAATTGTAATCCACTTCTTGCCTGTTTTTTGGTTTTCTTTGTCCTGCCAGACTCCTCCATTCCCACTGATACCCCCACGGAGACCCAGCTCTGGTATTTCTTGATCCGTCAGTTCTGAGTCCCATCATCAGGCCTTGAGCATCCCATTCCTCAGGATCATTTCTAAGCCCAATAACCAAATTATAAATCAAAGAAGACAGTTGCCAAAGGTAACGTTTATTGTGCACCTATCCCAGCTGGGCGGTATAAATGGTTAACATGCTTGGATGCTAACTGAAAGGTTCGAGTTCACTCGGAGGCATCTCAGAAGCACGGCCTGGCAGTTTATTTCTGAAAAATCAGTCCTTGGAAACCCGAGGGAACACAGCTCTCTGACACCGAGGTTGCTGTGAGTCAGAGTCAATGGACACTGGTTTACCCTGCCTGGCACCGTGTAGTACACTTGCATGTGTACACACACACACACACACATATCTGGTGACCAATGGTAAGAGCTCTGGTGGCACAGTGGTTAAAACATTCAGCTGCTAACCAAAAGGTAGGCAGTTCAAACCCACCAGCCACTCTACAGACAGATGTAGTCTGCTTCCATAAAGATTTAGAGCCTTGGAAACCCTATGGGGCAGTTCTAGTCTTACAGGGTCACCATGTCAGAATTGACCCTACGGCAGTGGGTTTCTGGTTAGCTGCACTGCCTGAGAAAATGGACGCATTTATACATCTACCCAGTGTAGCAAGGAGCTCTGGTAGCATAGTGCCTAAGGCACTTGATTGTTAACCAGAAGGCTGGTGGTTCAAACCCACCAGCCACTCCTTGGAAGAAAGGTTGGGCAATCTACTTCTGCCTCGGAAACCCAAGGAGGGGTCACTATGAGTTGGGGCCGACTCGATGGCACATAACAACAACAACCAGTGTAGCAAGGATTGTGAGGCTGGCACAGGACTGGACAGTGTTTCATTCTGTGTTACACAGAGTTGCGATGAGTTCGGACCAACTCAACCACACCTAACAACAACCCATCATGGGTCAGACTAGGATTCTCGACTCCAGCCCAAGACTCCATAGTATCCACTGCTTTTGGCTAGTTCATGGGGTGTCTGGTTTTGGAACTGAGGCATGTAGAGTAAGCTGTTACTTGGAAAGGCTTTATTCTGTGAGGGTGACTTACTGGCTCTTCTGGACATAGCCATCCTGCTTCCCCCTACCCCAACCATATCTTCTTCCCAGCTGAGCAAGAGAGAATCTAGAATCATCCATTAAAGGGATGACCAGTAGGAGGCTAAAAAGCTCTGGTGGCACAGTGCCTAAGGCATTTGACTGCTAACCAGGAGGTTGGTGGTTCAAATCCACCAGCCACTCTGTAGAAGGAAGATTAGGCAATCTACTTCCGTGAAGATTTACCGCCTTGGAAACCTGAAGAGGGTCGCTATGAGTCGGAATCCAGTTTGGTTAGGTATTTTTTTTTGGTGTAGCATGAGGCTAGGAGAAGTGGGCAGGGCAGGGAGACAGGTGTCAATTCCAGGCTTAGAGGAGGCCTGAGGCCCAAGGGCAAACCCTACTAAGACCTCCACATTTGAGGCCAGGCAACCGTGGAAGCCGTTCAGGCTCAGTCCCCGTGGAGTGGGGACAGTGCCCCTGATATTTGGTACATAATGGTTTCCCCAGGCACCGAGGCCTTTAAAAAGACTGAGCTGAGTACCGACCGATATGCGGAAAGTCTCTCCCCTCTTCAACTCTAGGGCGCAGCCATATTTCCATACGGAAAATAAGGAACTCAAAGGCAACTCCCACCTTAAACTGTTAAGCTAAACCGGACATCGCGGAGACAGCCATGCAAACCAATGAGCTCCCGCCACATCACAGAGCCCACCTTGAAGCCTCCGCCACGCCTCGCTGACCCGGAGCTAAACAGCCGCGCGGCGCCGCATTCTGGCGTCACTTCCACCACAGCGATGGCGGCCCAGGGAGCAGCAGCGGCGGTTGTGGCGGCGACTTCAGGGGTCGCGGGGGAAGGCGAGCCTGGGCCCGGAGAGAATGTGGCCGTCGAGGGGACAGCCCCGTCCCCGGGCCGCGTCTCTCCTCCGACCCCCGCTCGCGGCGAGCCGGAAGTCACCGTGGAGATCGGAGAAACGTACTTGTGCCGGCGGCCGGATAGCACCTGGCGTGAGGGCGGGGCCCAGAGCAGAGTTTTAAAAGACGAGGGGGCGGGGCCTGAGGACAGGTTCTAAGCGGGGTCGAGCACTGGGGGCTGGGAGTCGTGGGCGGTGGAGCCAGAGGACGAAGAGGGCGGAGTTACAGGCTCTCAGAAACTAGTCCAGTTGTCCTGGACTCCTTCCCAGCGCTGCCCACAAACCATACCAGTCAGGCCATCACCAGATTCTTCGTATTGCTTATAGAGCGCGTATTTCGCGCCCTTGCCCAATCTTAGGCTTTATTCCATTTCTTGTTGACCTTACTTCCTCACCCGCCTCTAATCTGTGTGTCTGTCCCTTCCATCCGTTCTCTTCAGTCGCCCCTTCCCTTCCCTTTTGTTTTCTTATCTTCACAATAAACCCTAAACGCCTGCAGAATGGTATTCATCTGTGTGCCTGCCCTCTGGTTTCTAATCACCCCAGAGGCCATCGGAATGTCCTTTTTTCCCCTTTTTCCTTGCTCAGCTGGTTAAGCTTCGACTCATCTTTAAAATCATATCCTCTGTGATGCATTCTTGACTCCCTTCAGGCAAAGTGTGAATCGCTTGCTTCTGTATGTTCCCACCGCATTCTCTTCATACCTCAGCCACGTATAGGAACATTGTTTTGTAACTGGCTGTCTTTCCCTGTCAAACTGGGAACTTGTGGGAGGGGGGTGGGGTTTCAGAATAGGACCTGTTATGATTCATTGTTGTGTTCTCTTTATGGAGCAACACAGCATAGAGTCAGATATGCCATGGTTACTTTACTCACTCACAGCATGATTTGCTAGATGTCAGGTGCTGTGCTGAAAACTTGACAGTATTAACTCACTCTCTGAAACAGGCACCGTTAGGAGGTTCAAGAAGACATAATAACTTGTTCAGTTATATATACAGATAGCTCAGAAGTGGAGGAGCTAGAATATTAACCCACGCTGTCTGAATCCAGAGCCAGACTTCTTGACTCCCTGAACAAATAAGCGATTGGCACTTCGTAACATAGTGAATTTGGAGTAAGACTTAGCCAAACAAGCTCACTGCCATCAGGTCGGTTCTGATTCATAGTGATCCCCACTGGGTGGCAAATCTTTATGGAAGTAGATTGCCCGGTCTTCCTTCTGCAGAGTGGCTGGTGAGTTTGAACTGCCAACCTTCCAGTTAGTAGTCAAATGCCTTAGGGGCTGTACCACCAGAGCTCCTTAGACTTAAACTTAGCTAAGTATTAACAGCCCCAGCCTGGCCCGGGTCCCTGGGTTGTGCAGTGAGTGACTGGAATGGCAGCTATGGATGGGTGAGGTAGGTTACGTGTGGCTCTGGAATCTGGAAATGGCTCCTCAGTGAATAGGATGCCTCTAGTGCCAGCCCTGCCTCGCCTTCCTGATGGTTCTATGCATTCTCCTTCACAGATTCCGCTGAAGTGATCCAGTCTCGAGTCAATGACCAGGAGGGCCGAGAGGAATTCTATGTACACTACGTGGGCTGTGAGTGGCTTGGGGCATCCAGGGCCTGGGTGGGAGGAGAAGGTTGGCAGGGCAGCACCCTCACTGCCCACCCCCACAGTTAACCGGCGACTAGACGAATGGGTGGACAAGAACCGGCTGGCACTGACCAAGACGGTGAAAGACGCTGTGCAGAAGAACTCAGAGAAGTACTTGAGTGAGCTGGCCGAGCAGCCCGAACGCAAGATCACTCGCAACCAAAAGCGCAAGCATGATGAGATCAACCACGTGCAGAAGGTCCGGGCTCCCTCCCCTTCCCTGGGGTCCCAGGACTCCTTGGGCCTCTTGGGCACCAGTACCAAAGCCGCAGCAGCTCTCATATCTTAAGCTCCTACACTGTTTCGGGGCCTTTACCTACCTCCTCTCCTTACTCCTCACAGATGAGAAAACTGAGGCTGAGAGAGGGCAAGGCCGTAGCCAAAGTCTCAGCTAAAGGGCTTGGCCAAAGTCTCGCAGCTAAGCATCGGTACATCTGAGATAGAAACTCAGGCTTCCCATCCCCATAGCCTCTGTTGTCTCCTATGGGCTGTGCCACCTTAGGCAAACTGACTTGAAGTCCAAAGGGAGGGGTTAAAAAATGTATACTAATCAGGTATTTTCTGTTGCCTAGCACCATGGACTGTACGTATGTAAGTCCATCACATCCCCCTCAGCTGTTCACCACCACAGCAATAATTATCTCTTCTTATAGGCAGGGAAAGGAGCTCTGGTAGTGTAGTGCTTAAGGCACTTGACTGCTAACCAGAAGGCTGGCGGTTCAAACCCACCAGCCACTCCTTGGAAAGAAGGTTGGAACTACTTCCGTAGTGATACGGCCTCGGAAACCCAAGGAGGGGTCGCTATGAGTCGGGTCCGACTCGACGGCACATAACAACAACAACATAGGCAAGGAAGCAAGCTTAGAGAGGTTAAGTAACATGCCCAAGATATCATAGCTAGTTCATCAGTGAGCTGGAGTTGGAATAATAGTGCCTAACATTTATTGGTCTGTGAGCCAAGCATATGCTAAGTAGTTTACATACATGACCTCACTGAAGTCTTACAGCAACCCTGTGACATAAACATTATTATTACCCCAAGTTACAGGGGAGGCACAGAGAGGTTTAGTACCTTGTTCAGGACTACACAATCAGGAAGTCAGTTGGCACCCTGGCCTTCCAACTTCAGAGCCCAACCCTTAACCAGGAGCCTGACACATCCTAGAAATTCGGGCCATTTGTCTCCCAGATGTGGGTACTTTTCACAAACCAGGCTGCCCTTGGCAGGTCACTTGTCCCCTACTCTGAGCCTCAGTTTCTTGAACTGTAAAAGAGGGAGTCCGAACCAGAACAGGGTTCATCAAGCTCTCAAGGCACGCAGATGTTCATCAGTTTCAACCAGTGCCATTTCATCTGCTTATTGTGTGCTTTGCAACAGCGTTGTTCAAAGTGTGGGGCACAGCCTGCTGGTAGATAGCAAAAGCCAGCTTAGAGGGTGTGACCAGCATTGAAATTTTAAAAAGGGAAAGAAGTAGTTGGGTAAGATAGAAACGTACCAGAATGTGTTGCACTTTTTAAGGGTAAGTATTATTTTGAGAAGTTTTTATTTTATATGCAAATATATATACACAAACATGGTTTGTGGTGCCAAATGCACTTATTGGTATTAAATGACTTTTGAAATGCTCTGAACCGGAACATCTTCTCAAGGTCAAAGGCAGCACAAGCCGATAGAATTTCCTGTGATGGTGGCTGTGCCCTGTATTTGCGCTGTCCATTCAAGTAACCACCAGCCACATGTCTACTTGAGCACTTGAAATGTGTCTTGTGTGCCTAAGAATCAATTTTAATTAGTTTCAATAGCCATGTGTGACTATGTCTACTCTATTTGACAGCACAGATTCATGGTCCTAGTAGTTCCCCAGCCAGTTAGCATTGGGAAATTAAGTCTCAAAGATGTTACCTCTAACCTGGCCGTTGGCAGCGTGGATGACAGTGGGCCCAAATCCACTGCCATCGAGTTGATTCTGACTCATAGCAACCCTTTTGGGCAGAGTAGAACTGCCATAGAGGGTTTTCAAGCCTGTAAATCTTTACCAAAGCAGACTGCCTCGTCTTTTTCCCGTGGAACAGCTGGCAGGTTCAAACTGCTGACCTTTTGGTTAGCAGCCAAATGCTTGAACCGCTATGCCACCAGAGCTCCTTGACAATGAGCCAGAGGTGGTAAAGAATGGATAATAAAACAATCAGCAGGTTAACAATCAGCAGCGTTCTTCAGAGCCTAGTTAATGTTTAATTAATTCTCAATAAAAAAATAAATTCTAAATAAATTACAGTTTAAGAAAAAGAGTGTTTTTGTAATTCTTTAATGCATTTGCAGAAAAGTACTGTGTTTTGTGAGAGTTGAGAAATACGTGTTAAAGAGCCACGTGAGGGAGAACATCTTTCTTGCCTTATGTTTGCAGTGATTAGGCTCAAAGTTGGACAGACCAGGGGCCCATCTCTGCTGAAGATGTGTTCTGTGATCTCACCTTTCTGTGCCAGTGTACAGTGGGGGCAAGGGACACTTGTCTCAAAGGCTAATTGTGAGGGCTAAATGAAATAACGCCTGTGGAGTGCTTGGTACTTGGTTTGAATGGCCGCTAACTGTTCTTGAAGTCAAGTGAGCTCCCGTCTTCCTGCCTGTTTGCTTCTCTGTAGGATAGAAAGAAGCAGTTGTGTCTCAGGGTTTCCACAAGGGTTAAATGAGGCCATACAGGCCAAGTGCTTTGGAGAGGGGATTCTGGGTAAAATGCTGCCTCCTTTCCTTTCTCTGCTGTTCATCTCCGGGGCGGTACCAGTCACCTCTGGCATAGCCTTAGGCCTTGGGTCCCCCTCAGTTGGTAGGTTGTGCTTGGTTCTTCCTATGTAGTTTGGCCACAGGCTGGGAGATTCTGTGAATATAACTGGACCCTTTAGTCCCTGCTTCCTAAGGACTTGGAGAGTAGGGGAGACCACACCAGGGGTTGTCAGGATGTTAAGTCATTGACCACCGCACTCCTGACTTGGGAAAGAGGGGTGCCTTCTGGGTAGGAAGAATCCAGTCAGACCTCTTGGAGGAGGTGGGAGGGGAACTGGGCTTTGAAGGACAAGGAAGGAGCACAATAAAACAATTATAAATAACAAAGGCCTGCCTCATCATGGATTCACCTGGCTCAGGCGCCAGGTTGGGTGAGCGTTTATGCACCACTAAGAGGGGGCAGGGCATTCAAGATGGAAGAAAGTGCATGTGCAAAGGCGTGAAGGTCAGTAGAGAAAAAATTGAAAGCAGTATAGCTTGGAGGGGCTAAGACGAGGCAGGGAATCTAAGGTGCACTAGTCAATTGTCAAGACCCAAAAGGGTCAGAGTGTCTATGGGGATGTAACAGGAGAGGAGACCAATTCCAAAGATGCCAAGGGACTTGGCCACCAATTGCGTGCTGGGCTGAGAGAAGGAGGGGCCTAGAACCAGGATGTTACTGGCCTTCAGCAGTTGGACAGATGATGTTATTAGTGATGTGAAGAATTAAGGAGGAGAAATGGATGGGGTGTGTGGAGAAAATAATCCTCCTTGAGTCTGTTCTGCCCGTGGAAGAGACCTCTGGGCAGATAGCTACTTGGGTCGGGTGCTAGGAATGTCATCGAGGTCAGGTGCACGTGGAGTGAGCAGCGGCTTCAGCCACGGGCGTGGGAGGCCCAGGATTTCATCTGTGCCTCACAGCTTCAGCAGCGATGGATGGATCCCATCGTACAGCTGAAGCTCTTACAACCCAGGGACTGGAACCAGGTCTCCTGATCCTAGGCCTGGTCCTCTGCTAAAGGTCCATACTTGGGCATCAGGGGCATCTGGGGTGTATGGGTGGCAGGCAGCTGGGAAAGGAGCTTGGGTTGGCCTCAGAACCTGGTAAAAGAAGCTAGTTGCCAGGATGGTGGTGGTTATCATTGAACCGGATCTGGGAGACAGTAGAGAACCACTGTAGGTTCTGAAATGGAGAGGGACAGGCTGACCACCACTTCTATCCACCTCTGCCCACTTTTCTTTCCTTGTCCAGACCTATGCAGAGATGGACCCTACAACAGCAGCCTTGGAGAAGGAACACGAGGCGGTGAGCAGGGGCAATGGTCTGAGCTGCAGGTAATTCCCTTTGCTTTGTTGCTTTTACTGAGTTGGCACCGGGCCCCACTTCGACCCTTTTCACAGATTACCAAGGTGAAGTATGTGGACAAGATCCATATCGGGAACTATGAAATCGATGCCTGGTACTTCTCACCATTTCCTGAAGACTATGGGAAACAGCCCAAGCTCTGGCTTTGCGAGTACTGTCTGAAGTACATGAAATATGAGAAGAGCTACCGCTTCCACTTGGTGAGGCTGGGGCAGGCCACGTTGGCCTGGGCCCGGCTGGGCTGGGTTGGTCTGGGCCGGGCTGGGCTGGGCTGGGCAGGGCAGGGCCAAGCCTGGAAAGAGAGGCAGGTGTGAGGCTGAGGGCAGCTGAGCCAGTGGCACCAAGGAGTAGAGGCAGGTCCAGAGGTGTTGAGTGCAAGGCAGAGCTGGCCCATGGATCAGGAGTCCTGGAGTTCAGGCCTGGCTCTGCCATTTGCTGCCTGAGTGACTTTGGTTTACTTACTGCCCCTTCAAGACCTGTTCCTGCTTCCCTGTTCTCTGTCCTCGGGTTCTTTGCCCTGCGTCACATGATGGCCAAGGCCAGTCTAACTCCAGCCCCCTCAGAACAAAAGAGGAAGCAAACACAGCCACTGAGCAGTGGAGCCTGAAGGTGTAGACCCACGGGAAGGGTTGAGATCCGGGTGCACCAGGACAGTAGAGTGTTTCCCAAATCATGGAGTTGGACGTGTGGTTTAGGAGATGCCCATGTCATGCATAAGAGCCGTCCAGAGCTCTCCTGAGCCAGGCAGACAGGACTTGAAACCCTTGCAGCTGTGTGATGCTCAGATAAGTTCCATAGCCTTTCTGTGCCTCAGTTTCTTCGTCTGTAAGAGCCAGCCATCTCCCAAGGTTAGGGGGAGGATTGCTCCAGGCAGGTGAGGTGCTGAGGTTGAGGAAACAGAGGCTGCACAGGAAAAGGGAACGTGGGGGTAGGGGTAGGGGTATTGATGGATCCCTTATCAGAGAGCCTGGGAATCTCCAGCCTGTGACTCCCCGTCCCCACCCTCAGGGCCAGTGCCAGTGGCGGCAGCCCCCAGGGAAGGAGATCTATCGCAAGAGCAACATCTCTGTGTATGAGGTGGACGGCAAAGACCACAAGGTGAGCCTGGTGGCCAGGGGCCGTGGGGAGGCAGAGGAAACACCAGGGACCGCCTGGACGATCCTCACCAAAGGGTAGAGGCCACTCGGGGCGAGCCTCCGTGGGAAACGCCTGTGAGACCTCGCTTAGCCTGGCACCTGGCCTGTGGCTAGTGCGTAAGAACATCTCACCCCGTGGTGCCAGCCGTGGAGGCAGGATTGCTGGTCCCTGCCTGGGATCTTTCTTCTGATGGGAGTAGTTCTGGAGGCCATGGTGGGGGATTGTCTCGCCTGAGGCTGCTCTTAGAAGGGCTTTCTCTTTCTGCCTGAAGGAACGGTGCTTGTTTTATATCAGGCTGCAAACTGCTTGGTGTGAGGGGATTTCCTGTCTGAGGGCTCTGTGCTTAGGATAGACTGAGTTCCTTGTTCCCAGCAGAAGGGCAGAGTGGGGCAGAGTGGCACTCTTGGGGGCTGGTGTGCTGTCTTTGAGAGCTTGGCTTTGCCTGGTCAGTCTGAAGAGGCCTCAGCAGTGTCCCACTTTCCCTCGGAAGGGCAGTCTCGTGTTAAGATGCAGACTGGCTGCCTGGCTTCAGATTGCCCCATCACTTCCTTGCTGACCTTGGACATGTTACTTAACGATTTTGTTCCTGTTTCCTCGTCTGTAAACAGGAGTCATAATATTTACCTCATACGGTTGTTAGTGGAATAAATGAGACGGCCATTGTCAAGTGCTTAGCACAGTGCCAGGCATCCGACAGGTGCTGAGTAAACATGGGTCTTTGTGATTAATGACCCGTTGCCTGGAGCTTGGTGAATAGGCACTGCCTGGCCCTTGCCTGCTGCTGTCTTCCTGAGCACAAACAGGTGGAGTGGCACAAAGGGCCCCAGCTGGTGACCTGAGTCTGGTTCTCAGCTCTGCTCCCCCAGCTGTGAGGCCTCAGGCAAACACTTGCCCTCCCAGAGCCTCAGTTTCCAAATATGTAACACAGGACTAGCAGTGCCAGCTTCCCATTTGTTGGGCCGAGTGAGGGAGTAGATGTGAAAGGGTGTCATAAACCAGAGGACCTCCTGATCTGTGCCATGAGCCAACCTCGAGGTCCCAGTGTCCCTCCTGACATTGGTGTCTGGCCTGGCTAGGGTCTCTGGGCCTGTAGCAGTGGACACACAGACTCAGGCGTTGGAGTCAGGCTCCAGGCTGGCCTGTTCAGCATTTACCTCAATGCTTAGCCTGGTGCCAGGTGCTGGGGACATAGCTACTTTCATGACAGAACTTATGTACCACTTGAGTTCCTGGCCCTCACCCGGCACAGGACCTTGGGCAAACCTGCTCTGAGTCTGTTCCCTGATCTGAAAAGGTGATATCGGTGAAGATTGAAACGGATTATGCGGGTAAAGCACCTTGCCCGTATATGGCACTCGGGAAGTGGTAGCCATGCTACCAGCTAGTCCAGCTCTGCTTCCCGGGTGCTCATGGCTTGCTGGCTTTCAGTTGTCATGTCCATCAGAAATGGACCCTCTTCAAGTCTCCTCCTAATTCTAAAAACAAGCTCACTCCTCACCAGCTCGGTGGAGCCTGGTATCTGCAGAGCAGGGCTCGGTGGGGGCGCCCTACCTGCTCCCTGAGCCTGCTCCCACCTTCCCTTCCCCTCAGATCTACTGTCAGAACCTGTGTCTGCTGGCCAAGCTTTTCCTGGACCACAAGACGTTGTACTTCGATGTGGAGCCCTTTGTCTTTTACATCTTGACCGAAGTGGACAGGCAGGGGGCCCATATCGTCGGCTACTTCTCCAAGGTGCTAGACCCAGAAGCCCACACTAGGGGAAGGGTGGAGGGTGTTGACCAGAGCAGGCGCTGAGCCTCCGCAGGCCCTGACCGTCCATCCCCTGCAGGAGAAAGAGTCCCCAGATGGCAACAATGTGGCTTGCATCCTGACCCTGCCCCCTTACCAGCGCCGTGGCTACGGAAAGTTCCTCATCGCTTTCAGTGAGTGGCTCCTGGCCTGTCCAGGAAGGGGGCGACTGTGGTGGGCCATCCCATGGCAGGGTCCTTAGGATCTTCTTGTCTGACACTGCCAGGCTATGAGCTGTCCAAGCTAGAGAGCACGGTGGGCTCCCCAGAGAAGCCACTGTCTGACCTCGGCAAGCTCAGCTACCGCAGCTACTGGTCCTGGGTCCTGCTGGAGATCCTGCGAGACTTCCGGGGCACGCTGTCCATCAAGGACCTTAGGTGAGAGCCCGGGTCCCCAGACTGTCCATCTAGGACCTTGTAAAGTAGGCGTCCTGGAGCCTTCAAAGAGGAAAGGACTCCATGATTGGCCAAGACCCTGTCTTTTTACCCTGTTTTGCTATCCCAACCTGACCCCCCAAATGAACTGTCTCCAGCCCCTGTTCTAATCCCATTCTGTAGCCAGATGACCAGTATCACCCAGAATGACATCATCAGCACCCTACAATCCCTCAACATGGTCAAGTACTGGAAGGGTCAGCATGTGATCTGTGTCACACCCAAGCTGGTGGAGGAGCACCTCAAAAGTGCCCAGTATAAGAAGCCACCAATCACAGGTGGGTGGGGGGCTGCCCAGAGAGAGAGAGAGAGAGAGTGTGTGTGTGTGTGTGTGGGGGGGGGTAGGTATAAAAACTGCTGAGAGCCAAGGCCTCCTTTTTGCTGTCACATGATCCCAAACCAGTCAGACCAGCTCTCTGGACTGAAGCCTGGGGCAGGCTACTCATTCCTGGGCTTCCCTGCCCACTCCCTCACCAGGACTCAATCTGCCCTTTTGTTCTCACCCGGAGGAGGTGAAACCTGGCCTGGGCCCAGAGCAGCACAGCCAGGTATGAGCAGGCCTGGCACGGAGGCCCGGCCTTGTCTCTCATTCCTCTTCTCCCCACAGTGGACTCTGTCTGCCTCAAGTGGGCACCCCCCAAGCACAAGCAAGTCAAACTCTCCAAGAAGTGAATGGCCTGTGTCCCCGCTGTTGGACCCATCGTCTCTTTTGCTCCTCGCCTGTAAATATGTACAGTCCTGTTGTCCCCCTCATCATTTTTTAAATAAAGTAAGTTCTGCCAGTGGCTTTGGACTTTGGAGGAGGGAGGGAGAGGCTGAGTTAACGTTCTTCAGTCCACCTCACACGTAGCCAGTGTGCTTCAAATGTTTTATTCCTTCTTGCTCTCTTATCCTCCTCCCCAGACCCAAGCCCCAGTCCAGTTCCGAGGGGGGCTCAGTCCTCCGGAGTCCAGGAGTTAGGGGTGGGGGCGGGGGCAGTGAGGAGGCATGGCAGCCCACAGGCAAGATCGGAGCCTTTCCTGTCTTTGAAAACAAGCTGCCCGAGGCAGCCCCAGCCCAGAAGACAGGAAGCGGGCAAGGTGATGGGGCATGTTGGGCAGAACAAGTGGGGACACAAGCCAGCCTTCAGCAGCATCAGCTGGGCAGGTGCCCAGTCTTCTAGTAACAGGGTGGGGAGCCAGGGCCCATTGTCATGCTAAGTTTCCTTGGAGGCTCCATAGGAGCCCAACCGTTGGGTGTAGACACACACAGGTGGGCAGCTAGCTGGAGGGGCCAGGGCTTCCAGCCAATACCACAGGTGGTGGAACTTATGAGCGGGTCTAGTCCCATAGAGCAAACCCAGAAGATGGGCTCGAAGGTCGAGATGGTTCCCTAGGCTCCACAGGTCCTGGGCGGAAGGAGTGGCTGAAGTCAGGCCCTGGGCCCTAGAGGTGTCCGGGGAAGGTCAGATCCATTCCTGGGAACAGACGTCTGCCCTTGGGTGTAAGTCAGTCCTGGAAACAGCGTCGCTCCCAGCAGCATCAGCAGCTCAGTGCTCCCGCCACGGGCAGAGGAGGCCCAGGGTCAGGCCCAGCGGCAGCAGCAGGAGAGGCCCGAGCAAGCCCTGACACGGGGCAGAGTCGTGGGCCAGGTGCTTCCTGCAGAGGTGGTCATCGGGCTGAGACTCTTCGGTTTGGGGAGCCACGTGGGGCTGGAGGTCTGCCACGTGGTGTTGGATCCAGGAGGTGTAGCTGGAGGTCAGAGTGTACACGCCAGGCCTGTTGGGGGCCCCACAGGCATCCCCCCAGCTCACAATGCCTGCCAGGTACCAGAGGCCCCCCACAGGGCAGGAGAGTGGGCCCCCAGAATCACCCTGAGGAGAAAGCCAGACAACAGCTGTCAGAAGCAGGACCAGGCCTCCAGTCTTCCATACCAGCCCTCGTCTCCCAAGATGCACTTGTCTTATCTGCTTCCCTGGGCCCTTCCGTTTACCTGGCAGGCGTCCTTGCCCCCCTGTACATAGCCGGCACACACCATATCCTGCTGGATGAAATGCGGCTCCTCGGGCTTGGCGTGGATGTTGTACAGGCAGTTACATGTCTCACGGCTGATCAGGGGCACCTCAAGCTGCTGCAGTGGCCTGGGGGGCCGCAGGCTCACTGTGGGGGCAAGAGATGCTTACCTCCAGGGCCCTTCTGCACAGCGGGCACCCTCCAGGTCTCTCGGCCTCCAGTGCCCCCACCTCACCTGAGGGGGCCACATGACCCCATCCAGTGACTGTACAGCGGAGGCCATTGGGGAAGGAGGCGTTGGCAGCCGGGAGGCAGATGGGCCGGACAGAGCGGGAGAAGTTGACGGGGTGGGAGAGGCGGAGGAGAGCGATGTCGCCCTGGGAGCCCTCCTGACGGTAGCTGGTGTGGGAGATGACCTGGGCCACCATGCGGACCTCGGCCTCGGGGCTGTAGGAGTCCAGCTGGTGGGCACCCAGCCTTACCTCATAGTCATCCTTGTGGTGCTCCCTGCAGGCAGAGGGGCAAAGGCCGGGACTCACATGGTTCCTTGTTTTCCTCATCCCTGGGGCACCCAGAAGGTGCTCCGGGGGCATAGTGCTAAAGCATTCAACTGCTGAGCAAAAGCTTAGCAGTTTGAACACACCAGCCACTCCATGGGAGAAAGATGAGGCCATCTGCTTCCGTAGAGATTTACAGCCTTGTAAACCCTATAGGGCAGTTCAACTCTGTCCTCTAGGGTCACTGTGAGTCGAAATCAACTCAGTAGCAGTGGGTCTGGTTTCTTGGTGATGGCACCCAGCCCCAGAATCTGATCCCAAACAGAGGTCATTTTAGGCCCCAAACTGCATCCTAATTTTATCCCATGACCTCTGACCTCTTAGTCTTTAAACTCCTGACTGATCCTTTCAGACCCTATTGATAGCCCCAGCCCCAACCCAAGGACCCCAACCTCTGACCTGGATTGACTTTGACCTCCAGCCCACTTTTGACCTGCATGCCCCTTCCCTCCCCAGCCTGGTACCTGGGGAAGCAGTGAGCAGCTGACAGCACCCACTGCTCAGACATGAGAGAACCGCCACACACGTGGATGCCATTGTAGGTGATGCTGACCTGCCAGGGCCACTGACCAGGGCCTGAACTGCTTCCGCCTGTGATGCGCGCTTGGGGGGCCACACCGCAGAGGGCTGTCCAGGGAGAAAGGGAAGGGAACCAGGCTCTTAGCCCTGCCACTCCTGACAGAGACCTAGTTTGGAGCTTGGAAGGTCAGCTCACAGAAGCCAGCCATCCCATTGCCTCCATCCCACAGTTCTGCCCCCTTGCCATCCTCCTCCCAGCCAATCCACTCCTAAGAAGTCTGAAGATTTTCCTAAACCTAAATATGATCAGTCCCCTAATTTGCTTAAATTCTTCTGTGGGTCCACACTGCCCAGACCCTCCTGCTGGCGTGGACTCTCGTCACCCCTCTGGTCACACATGTTGGGCCACACGCTTGTTCACTGCTGCACCTTTGCTCATGTAGATCATTCTGCTTAGAATACCTGGACCCTTCCTCCTCTGCTTGGCACTATTTGCCTAGGGAGACTATTCAAATGCCAGCCCCTTGGAAGCCTGCCTTGACCCTCATAATAACCAAATCCAATCCAACCCACTGTCACAGAGTTGATTCCGACGCAGCAACCCTATGGAACTGCCCCATAGGGTTTCCAAGGCTGTCAAACTTTACAGAAGGAAACCACTACATCTTTGTCCTGAGGGTCAGCTGGTGGATTTGAACCGCTGACCTTTCGGTTAGCAGCCGACTGCTTAACCACTGAACCATCAGGGCTCCTCTCATAATGATAAACCAAAAAATCCAAACTCACTGCCATAGAGTCAGAAGTAGATTGCCCCATCTTCCTTCTTCAGAGCAACTCGTCGGTTTGAACCGCCAGCCTCTGGTTAGCAGTCAAATGCCTTAAGCATTATGCCACCAGAGCTCCTAGCTACTATTTAGTGGGTGTTTGCAGCAGTGCCAGGCCCTGAGGGGCTTTCATTTATCTCAGGGAATCCCCACCACAGTCCAGGAGATAGACATCACTCTCTCAGAGGTGAAGAACCGAAGCTTAGAAGGTGGCGGGACTTGGCCAAGGGCACAGAGAGAGTGGCAAAGCCAGGATTTCAATCTGTAATACTCCGGAGCCAGGTGGTGTGCCGCAAAGGTAAGGTGATCCCTGGCTGGTTCTCATCAAAATGACCTTGAGAGCCCCACCTTGAAGGTTCCACTTGTGTTCAAATGCCAGCTATGCCACTAACCAGTTGTAAGCCCTTGGGGTGAGTCCCTTCTCCACACCTTGTCCATCAAGGGAGGGCTATAAACCCCCTCAAGGAGGCCTGGTAGTGCAGCGAGTAAGCGCTCGGCTGGTTGGAGCCCACGGGCTGCTCCACGGAATGTGGCAACTGATGTAGCGATCTGCTTTCTAAAGATTCACGGCCCGGGACCTCCATGTGGCAGTTCTGCTTGGTCCCATAGGGTCGCTACCAGTCGTAATGGACTCGAAGGCAGGAGGCTACGGTTAAAGTGCTACCAGGCACTTTAACCGAGAGAATGTGGGTGGGTGAGATAACTTAGCAGAATCAGGTGCTCCTCAAACCAGGGAAATTGGAATTCCTGGCTCCTTCTTCTGCCCCTCCCCCACTCTCCTGCATGCCTTTCGCTCAGCCAGGTCAGTCCCGGGAGAGAAACCTGGGAGGGATAAGCAGGGAAGTCCAAGTTCCCAGACCCCTTAGCAGTTGCTCTTCTCCAGAGGCCCAGGCCCTCCCTGCAGGGGGCCGAGGCCAAGCAGGGAGAGGCCAAGGGCTGAAGCCAGGGGTTCTGGAGCTCAGGAGCAATGGACCCAGAACAAGGTTGTGCTCACACACACACACACACACACACACTCATTTCTCCATTGCTGCAGCTCACAGCCCTCCCCCACCCCACCCGGCACATACTCACCCATCCCGGATCGGAATAATCCAGACAAGAGCAGAATGACCACAGCCTTCAGCCCCGCCCTCCCGGCCATGGCCCAGGACGAGGGCCCCGGGAAGACACCAGGCACCCGAGCAAAGGGACCTAGGTAGGGTCTGAGGCTGGTTTTGAAGGCAGGATCCAGGTATCAGACCCTGAAGGGAGGGATCCAGGAATCCGGGCTGGGAAGAGAGGCCTGAAGTTCAAGGCTGGCTCCGAAGGCAGGAACCAGGCACTAAAGCGAGATGCCTCAAGTCTCTGGAGCCAGCAGTGAGGACAGACTCCGGCAGAGCCTGGGCACGAAGAAACTTCCCAGAGCTGGCGGTTCCCCAGGAGGAAGGCGCCTACCTGCTCGCCCCTCCCCTGGCCCCGCCCTCCCCGCTCAGCCCTTTCTGTTGCCAGGCTGTGTGTGTGTGTGTGTGTGTGTGTGTGTAGGTGCAGGAAGCTCTGCTTGACTGGACCCCCTCCCCAAGTGTTCATCCTCTGGCAGGGCTGGAAAGTCTGGTGGTCTGATGGTGTGTAGACCCAACCCAATTGCCATCCACTCCAGGTTCCTCAGGTCCCCAGGGATCCCTGAACCAGTTATGCCCTGCAGGGCCTGGCCCAGCCTGCATTTTGGAAGGGCCACAGCGGCTCCTCCCTCCCTCTTTAAGCCCAATATGGTGTCTGAGCCCAGCACACCAGGGTTGGCCCAGTCCGGGGCCATTTCAAGCCCTTTCTGTAATGCCTTCAGCTTCATCTGCGTCCACGTAAGCGTGTCTGGCTGGGCCAATCATCCCACAACTATTTACTGAGTGTCTACTACGTTCTAGGCCCACGGAACAAAACAGACACTGTCCCTGCCCTTCCCTGAGCTCACTGTGAAGTAGAAGCAACAGACTTGAAGCAAATATTTACACAAAGGATTACCGAACAATGACCAATTAAGAACTGGACAAGAATGGGGGGCCTTGGAGGGAACACTGCAAAAATAAAAATAAAGAATGGGGGTCCTTGGGCGTGAACTCACAGGAACTGGTGCTGGCTGGCATCATGAAAGGTTAAGTGCCTATAGAGATAAGACAAAAAAGTGGTGTCCTTTATCCGTGCTCAAATGCCACTCTCTCCATGATGCCTTTCCAGACCCCGGCCAGGAATGTCCGTATCTGTTCCTCACGAGACTGAGAGTACTTTGTGGGCTTGTACGTTGGATTCGATGGTACTGGTAGTTGGCAGGGAATATTGGTGGAATTGCTATGGAGAGGTGCACAGCTAAACAGGATATGCACACAAGAGATACCAGACAGGGCCCAAATCCTGGGGACACTGGGCAGGGGGCCCTTGGAGGGTACAAGCTACCATGTGTTCAATGGCTCATTCATCAGGGAGGGTGTGCTAGCGTGATACAGGGCACAGCAGTGGCCTCTGGATCGCCAGATTCCAGGAATCTCTATCCTTCCCATTGGCAGGGGGAGGGGGCAGCAGGATCTAAGCTAGGGCTGAGGTGGCCAGCAGGCTCTGTGGATGCTGGAACCATTGGGGAGGTGACACACACCCAGCTGGTTGCCTAACCTCCCCTGCCTGGGGCAGGAATGAGGGACCGCTGCCACGTTATCGGGGACACATTTCCTGGGAGCCCAAGGTCTGACTCACAAAGGCCCCAGAAGGGAGGGGCCGATTCCTTAGGATTCCCCTTAGCCCAGGAAGCTCTGGACCTTTCGGCTTGCCCTCAGAGATGCCACAAGCCACGTGCCAGTGTTTACACCTTTATTGTCACTCCTCTTGCCGTCCCCAAGGATTCCTGGGCCCAAAATAGCTGGGCACCTAGGCCCAATTATCTGAAGCTGCCTCAGTGGGTGGGGTGCTCTCCAGGTTGGGCCACATTCCAGTAAAGGGCTAGGGGCAAGAGAGGGGGTAGAAGGAATGGTGACCCAGGGACCTGGCCAATCAGCTCTGGATCAGGGGGGCCAGCAGCAGCAGGAACAAAGCGGCCCTGGGGGATCCCGAGGCCTTTGCCATGTCCGGAGGACAGAGGTCACTGCCCTCAGGCGGCCAGTTGGGAGAGCCATTTGGGGGCAGGAAGTGGGCCTCCCCCACTGTCTGGGCGATCCACGTCTCTTCAGGGCCAATGGAAGCAAATAGCTCCCGGCTCCCTCTAACAGCCATGCCCACGAGGACCCAGGAGCGTCCTTCTGTCTGACACAGGAGTGGGGGTGCTGAGGTCACCTGCAGAGTCCCAGAGTCCAGGCCAAAGAGGTCTGTTACACTTTGTCCTGGTCCCTTGTACCTCCTCCCAGGAGCCATCAAGCACCACTTGTGTCTCCTCCATCCTTAGACATCCTGGCCCCTCATCTCTCCAAGGTCCAGCCACAAAGCATCGCTTCTTCCTATTTGGCGCCCAGCACCCAAGAGTTCCAATCCTGGTCTCTCTGGAGAGTCCCACCACCTCGGACTGCCTCTCCCCGCCCCCCCCCGGACCAGGATGCTCAGGCCCTTGTACCTCACACCTGTCTTCCTGACCCTCCGTATACAGGACACAGAGAGTCCCGGGAGGCAGAATGCCCTGATAGAGGCAGTGACAGATTCGTGGTGTCAGGATGGAGACAGCAGACGCCACAGGGACTAGGAAGAGGAAAGGAAGTTGGCGCAGGGGTTCTGGCCTCCGGTCACTCCTCACCTCACCTGGACCCAGGGCTCCGGTCCCTGTCTGTCACCCTGCGCCCTCCCCACCCCCCGCTCACCTCGGTCCTGGGGGTCCTTCCAGCCCAGCACCCAACAGCTGGCCCCCAGAGGGATGCCCCCTGAGTGGAGGCAAATGGGCAGAGCTGAGGGGGAGGGCTCCACCCGTGAGCTCAGTTCCAGCAGGGCCAGAGGGGGCTGCAGTCCCAGGTGCCGAGGCAGGCGGATGCTGATGACCGAGCGGGACACCTGGTGGCCCTGTGGGAGGGGGCTGGGCCCCGCCCGGCCCAGGTACACTTGGATATAGGGCACCGTCGTAGAGCCCAGTCTGTTGGAACAAGGCCGAGGCCATGTCACTTCCTGCTCCCCATATTCCCAGTAAAGGCCTTCCCAGCCCAGGGAAAAGGGTGGAATGAATCCCTGGGGTCATTCCACCAACTCCTTCTTTAGTCCTCCTTCCAAATCTCTCTGCTCTGTTTTAAAACACCTTGCGGGGGTTTCTCCTATGCTGTAAGAGCCCTAAAGGGACGATACCTTTGGACAACAAATACCTTTGTTCTAAGAATACTTTGGCCCACCTCCCAATTTTCCTCTCCAGCCTCTTGCCCAGGAGATGGGTGAGGCTCACCTGAGGACACAGTGAGTGGCGGCCAGGACCCAGCCGGGGGCCACAAGGGTCCCAGTGCAGACTCGCTCACCAGCCACATGCACCTCTGCCAGCCAGGGCCATAGGACTCCCATCCTGGAAGCCTCTGGCCGCAGCCCGCAGGCTAGGAAAGGATGTGGTCAGTTTAGTGAGGGCCCTGTGGCTGACCCCTGAGGTCCCTGCCATGGATCTGAGCACCCTCAGGAACCTGTGCCCCCCTCCCCACTATCATGCTCCTCGTAGACAAGCTCCTTCCTCACCACCATGCTCTGTGTGTGGCGGACAAGTCTGTGTCTCTGTCTCCTCCCCCTCAGGGCCCCAGTCCCAGGCCAGCTGGTCCTCCAGGTAGGCTCCCCGAGTCACATGGCTGATCCATGGGCCGTGGGGCTGCAGAGGGGAGAAGGCTCGGGGCCGTAGACAGCCACTCAAGGGGTCTCTGATCCCAGCCAGGAACCAGGTACCTGCCTCCCGGCACAGAAGGCTCCAGCGTGAGTCATTCTGCAGCGAGACACGATGTTAGGAGTGTGTGTGCAAGCTAGTGAGAGGCTATCAGAGCTCCTGGAGCTTTTCCGAGGAGCTCGGGGTAGTGTAGTGGTTAAAGCCGCTCTGTGGGAGAAAAAGATGAGGCAGTCTGCTTCCATAAAGATTTACTGTCTTGGAAACCCTTTGGGGACAGTTCCATTTTCTCTATCACGTCGCTAAGAGTTGGAATGGATTCGATGACAGGGGGTTTTGGCAGCTTTCCTGGACTCCAGACGCTCCCGTACTTGGCCACCTTCTTCAAGCCAATCTCCGATACTAACTTGTATTCAGGACTCTTTAAACCCAAGGGCAGTGAGTAAACACAGCCGCACAGGGCGGCTCGGACCCCTCCCTACAAGTCCTCCGGGGCCAGTCCCGCCCACCGCGCGTCTTGGCTCCGCCCCACCCCGCTCAGGCTCCACCTCCGCTCCTTCCCCGCCTCTGGAGCATTCATCCTCTCAGGCCACGGCCCCGGCTCCCATTCAGACCGCCTTCCGCAAGCTTCCCCCGCCCGCCGCTCACCCAACAGCGGCCCGCCTCCTCCTCCTCCTGATAGGCGGGACAAAGCGCGTGCGGCGGGTCTCTCGGCGGCGGCACTGACGCCCCCTGGCCGCCGTAGAGGCAATGACACCACCAGCCGCTCAACAGCTCTGCCTCTAGCAGCGAGCTGGGGCCGGGTGCAGGCTCTGGAGGCGGAAGGGAGGCGGCCTGTGCTGAGGCGACCTCCCCCGCGCCCCCGGCCCAGCGTGCCCCGCGCGGAACCCCGCGCTCACCCCCACGGCCCCAGCGAGTCAGGCGGCAGCGGCTCCCGGGCAGGAAATAGTGTTCCGGGTGGGGTAAGCACACAGGCCGCGGGGCTGCGCTTAGGTTCACGGGCGCGCGCAGCTGCAGCAGGGCCAGGTCTGAGCCGTCGTCCCACGAGGCGTTCTCGTGCGGCACGAGGCGCTTTACCCGCTCCGCGCGCGGGTTCGAGGGCAGCATCACGCGCCAGGCGTCGAGGTCGCGGGGCGGGCTGTCGGAGCTGATGTGGCTGCGGAAAGGGGAGGCATCCCACACCCCTCCCAGTCCTCCTTCTCTTGTACCGCCCTCTCAGACCCCGCATCATAGATTGAATTTGCACTCTCTTTCTCCCCTCCACCCCATCTTTCTTGGCTGGATCCTGCTCCTCTGACTAGGACTCCGCACGCCCAGGGGACGGGTTGGGGTCAGTAGTTGATGTCTCAGGCAGTTGAGGGAGGTTCTCACTCACTCTGGAAAGCAGCTAGCAGGTGCCAAGACCCAGCTGTCAGAAACCAGCGCCCCGTGGCAGGGTCTGGAACCTGGAACCATCACCTGCGCCTCCCAGGGCCAGGCCCCTGGCCTCGGGGCCTTCCCGCATTCTGAGAGACGAGAAGCCTGGGTCAGGAGCATCCTGTCTCCAGGGTTACACCCAGCAAGCTCCACTCCAACTCACCTGTCCCATAGCCTTAGCACATCGGGGGGTCTCGTTTCCTCACCTGGCTGGGCAATGGTACAGTTCTCCTCTGTGGGCTCCGGGGGGCCTCTCTGGGACCCCTGGGGCTGGGCAGGAAAGGCAGGCCCAGGCCTTGAGCCCATCACCTGTTCCCGGATCCATGCCTCATAGGGAGCTACAGCAGTGAAGACTCCTGGTCGGTTCCTCCGTCCACAGCCAAAGCCGAAGCTGGTGATTCCCACCTGGAACCAGCGTCCGCCTTCTTCACAGACTAGGGGCCCTCCAGAGTCACCCTGATGATAGACGACTCAGTGTCAGGGGGATCACCCAGGGACCCATCAGCTTATACCCAGTCCCCTTGCAAGCAAGGTCTCTTCACTTCTTATTGGCCGAACATATGGCACCTCTCCTCTGCAACCCCATGGCTCGTGGGCCAGCCATGGTAACTTGTGATAGTTAAGGTTATGTGTCAGCTTGGCTGGGCCTGGTTTTGAGTGGCTGGACAGCTGGATGTAGTTACTCCCCATGATGAGACTGGTAATCAACTCCACGGTGGAATCTACTGTGAGCAGCTGAGTAGCTGCCTTAGGGATGTGGTCTACTTCCAGTATATAAGAAGCAGCTTGGAGAAAGGTCTCTGAGCTTTTAGCATACTTGGATCCTGCATCTTCATTCAGCAGTCTGCCATGTTGTCTGCCGATCCTTGGACTGTTCCTGGGTTGAACTAGTGGCCTGCCTTGTTGTTTAATAATTTTGGGACTGTATCATTTTACTTGTCGACCTTAGGTTTGTTAGCCTCAGCAGCCAGCAGCTGTCTGAGTTAAGAGAAGCCTCCAGCTTCATTGGGCTGGGAGCAAGAGGCAGAGCTGAAACCCAAGGTCGAGGGACTTTCACCCAGCCCCTAGAGCTGGCACTTTGAATTCAGACTTCCAGCCTCCTAAACTGTAAGAGAATAAATCCCTGTTTGTTAAAGTCATCCATCTGTAGTATTTTCTGTTAGAGAGGCATGAGAGAACCAAAACAGTAACCATCGTTGCATGTGCCTTCTCCTCTGTATTCCCTACAGTTTGACACAGAAGAAAGCCTTGCAAAGCAGAAAGGCTGATGGGCACCAAAGCAATGAATTGCAAGTTCATGCATTAAAGGTATGCAAGGAAGCAGGTCTCACTTGGAACTAAATGACTCCTGTTCAAGAAATAGTTCAATTAAACCCATTTGATCCAATTTAAAGAGTAAATCAGAAATGATGGCATTCAGAGACAAAGGTAAATACTATTGAACACACGATCCTGCAATAATAGTAACAACAAACAATATCTACAGGTACTTACATAGGTAGACATGCAAGCTGATCAACTGTGGGATGGTGAATGGAGTACACCCATGAGTATATATAGGTTTTTAAAAAATCAAAACAAATCCACTGCTATGGAGTCAATTCTGACTCAGCAACACTGTAGGACAGAGCAGAACTGCCCAGTAGGGCTTTATGGAAGCAGACTGCCTCATCTTTCTCCTGTGGAGCAGCTAGTGGGTTTGAACCACTCTGCCTTTTTGCTTAGCAGATGAATGCCTCGACCACTGTGCCACCAGAGCTCCTATATATGTTTGGCAGAGGTACTTCTACATATGTATTTGTATATGCAGGAAATATATCCAAGGATATTTAGAGCATTACAGGGGACAAAGTTTGGGCAAAGTTCTACAAGTTTTGTAGCTATAAACAAACACTTTGAGGGAATGACTTACTTGGGGACTTAGGACTACCATCTTGGTGGACAACTAGGTCAGTTGGCATAACATAGTCCACAAAGACAATACTCTGGATTCTACTTTGGTGAATAGTGACTGGGGTCTTAAAAGCTTGTGAGCAGCCATCTGAGATGTAGCTATTGATCTCTCTTGGTCTGGAGCAAAGAAGAGTAAAGAAAATCAACGACTCAAGGAAACAGTCCAAAAGACTCATGGACTGCCTGACTCACAGCCTCCATATCTGAAGACCAGAAGAACTAGATGGTGCCTGGCTACTGACTGCTCTGATAAGAACAAAAAAAAAGAACCTGGACAAAGTGAGAGAAAAACAAAATACAGAAGAAAACATGAAAAACACCAGATGTACTAGTTTGATAGAGACTAGTGGAACTTCCGGCGAGGCAGGGATCCAGGTGAGGGGAGGGAACCCAGGCCATGCCCCAAAGTGGCAAGGTGGGAAAGTGGGTGAAAGGAGAGGAAAAAGGCCAGGGGGGCCGGGACATAGTGAGGAGGCAGCAGTAGGGATCCAGGTAAGGGGAAGATGGAGAGGTTTTGAACAGCTAAGGGAGACAATTTGTCTGTTGCTTTGTCCTACTGCGTGGTGACGTGTTGCTCTGAGTCTTGAGGCTGTGCCACCAGTGTTTCAAACCCAGTGGGGTGCACATGGTACACATGTTTCAGCGTGGCTTGCAGACTGAGACAGACTAGGAGGAAGGAAGAGGTTATCGACTTCTCAAAGAATTAGCCAGGTAAAACCTTATGAATAGCAGAGATACATTATTGTGCAACTTCATGAATAGTCTGGAAACATTGTCTAATACAGAGGAGGAGGATGAGTCACTTAGGTTAGAAGGCTCTCAAAACAGGACTGGGAAAGAGCTGCATCATCATAGTAAAACCAGCATTACCCATGGATAAAGTAAAACTTTCGAGACCTCCATTTGCTGACATGGCACAACGCAAATTGAGGAGAAACAGCTGCAAACATCCATTAATAATTGGAACATGGAATGTATGAAGTATGGATCTAGGAAAATTAGAAGTTGTGAAAAATGAAATGGCACACATAAAGATTGATATCCTAGGTGTTAGTGAGCTGAAATGGACTGATTTGGCCATTTTGAATCAAATAATCATATGATCTACTATGCCGGGAATGACAAGTTGAAGAGGAATGGTATGGCATTCATCATCACAAAGATGTTTCAAGATATGTCCTGAAATACAATGCTGTCAGTGATAGGATAACATCCATACACCTACAAGGAAGACCAGTTAATACTACTATTATTCAAATTTATGCAACAACTACCAAAGCCAAAGATGAGGAAATTGAAGATTTTTATCAACTTCTGAAGTCTGAAATTGACTGAACATGCAATCAGGATGTGTTAATTATCACTGATGACTGGAATGGAAAAATTGGAAACAAAGAAGAATCACCGGTAGTTGGAAGATTTGGCCGTGGTGACAGAAATAATGCTGGAACTCGCATGGTAGAATTTTGCAAGATAAACAACTTATTCATTGCAAATACCTTTTTCAACAACACAAATGGCGGCTGTACACATGGACTTCGCCAGATGGAACACACAGCAATCAGATTGACTACATCTGTGGCAAGAGGCGGTGGAAAAGCTCAATATCTTCAGCCAAAACCAGGCCAGGAGCTGACTGTGGAACAGACCATCAAGTGCTCATATGCAAGTTCAACTTGAAGTTAAAGACAATTAAAACAAGTCCATGAGAGCCAAAATATGATCTTGAATATATCCCTCCTGAATCTAGAGAACATCTAAAGAATAGATTTGATGCATTGAACACCAATGACCAAAAACCAGAAGAATTGTGAGATGACATCAAGAACATCATACATGTAGAAAGTAAGAGGTCACTAAAGAGACAAGAAAAGAAGACCAAAATGGATGACAGAAGAAATTCTGAAACTTGCCCTTGATCAGAGAGTAGCTAAAGCAAATGGAAGAAATGACAAGATAAAAGACCTGAACCAAAGATTTCAAAGAACAGCTTGAGAAGACAAAACCATTACTATAATGAAATATGCAAAGACTTGGAGTTAGAAAACCAAAAGGGAAGAACGTGCTCAGTGTTTCTCAAACTGAAAGAACTGAGAAAAAAAATTAAGCCTTGAGTTGCAATATTGAAAGATTCTATGGACAAAATATTGAATGATGTAGTAAACATCAAAAGAAGATGGAAAGAATACAGAATCACTGTACTAAAAAGAACTGGTCGATCTTCATCCATTTCAGGAGGTGACATATGATCTAGAAGTGTATTGAAGGAGGGAGGAAGTTGAAGCTGCAATGAAAGAATTGGCAAAGAATTGGCAAAGAACAAGGGTCCAGGAATTGATGGAATACCCATTGAGATATTTCAACAAACGGATGCCCCACTGGAGGCACTCACTTGGTTATGCCAAGAAATTTGGAAGACAGCTACCTGGCCAACTGACTGGAATAGATCCATATTTGTACCCATTCCAAAGAAAGGTGATCCCACAGAATGTGGAAATTATTGGACAATATCATTAATATCACACACAAGTAAAATCTTACTGAAGATAATTAAAAAACGGTTGCAGCAGTATATTGACAGGGAACTTCCAGAGGTGCAAGCTGGATTCAGAAGAGGACGTAAAACAAGGGATATCATAGCTGCTATCAGATGGATCTTTGCTCAAGGTGAAGAATACCAGAAAGATGTTTACTTGTGTTTTATTGACTATGTAAAGGCATTTGATTGTGTGGATCATGACAAATTGTGGATAACATTGGGAAGAATGGGAATTCCTGAACACTTGATTGTACTCACAAGGAACCTGTACATTGACCAGGAAGCTGTTGTTCGAACAGAACAAAGGGACACTGAATGGTTTAAAAGCAAGAAGGGAGTGTGTCAAGGTTGTATCCTTTTCCCATACTTATTCATTCTGTATGCTGAGCAAATAATCTGAGAAGCTGGACTATATGAAGAAAAACCTAGCATCAGGATTGGAGGAAGAATCATTAACAATCTGAGATATGCTGATGACACAACTTTGCTTACTGAAAGTGAGGATGACTTGAAGCACTTACTGATGAAGACTGAAGAATACAGTCTGCATTATGGGTTACATCTCAATATGAAAACAAAAATCATCACAACTGGACCAATAAGCAGCATCATGATAAATGAAGAAAAGATTGAGGTTGTCAAAGAATTCACGTTGCTTGGTTCTACAATTGACACCAATGGAAGCAGCAGTCAAGAGATTAGACGACATACAGCACTGGGCAAGTCAGCTGCAAAGGACCTCTTTCAAGTACTGAGGAGCAAGGATGTCTCCTTGAGGACTAAGGTGCGCCTGACACAAGCCATGATATTTTCAATCGCCTCATATGCATGTGAGAGCTGGATAATGAATAAGGAAGACCGAAGAAGAGTTGATGCTTTTGAGTTGTGGTGCTAGTGAAGAATACTGAAGGTACCATGGACTGCTAAAAAAACTTAACAGATCTGTCGTGGAGGAAGTGCAGCCAGAACGCTCCTTGGAAGCAAGAATGGCCAGACTTCATCTCACCTTTGATCATGTTGTCAGAAGGGGCCATTCCCCGGAGAAGGATGTCAACGAAAGAGGAGAAGGCCTTCAACGAGATGGATTGACATGGTGGCTGTGACGATGGGCTCAAGTATAGCAAGGATTGTGGAGCTGGTGCAGAATCGGGTGGTCTTTTGTTTTACTGTGCATAGGATCACTATGAGTCAGAAACGACTCAACAGCACCTCACAACAACAGTGGAACCCCCGAGACTGTGGCCCTTGGACATTCTTCAGGCTTGGAAGTGAACCCACTCCCAGAGATCAACTTTCAGCCAAACAATACACAGGCCTATAAAGTGAATAATAGCACCGGGGAGGAGTGCCTTCCTCACTACAATCAACCAGACCAGACCAAAAGGGCAACATTTGCCCAGAAACAAAACTCAGAAGCAGGAAGGGGCAGGAGACAAGGATGAATGGAACAGGGGAAGCCAGGGCAGAAGGGGAAGAGTGCTGATACATTGAAGGGATTGTAACCATGTTACGAATCAAAATGTGTATACATTGTTGAATGGAAAACTAATACACTCTGTAAAGTTTCACCCAAACTGCAATTTAAAAGAAAGAAAGAAATGATGGGCTTCACAAGAAAGAGACTATTAGAAAAAAGCTAACAATAGCAAGAAGGGACCATTTGAAAGCAAAGAAAGAGGCAGAACTCTAATGAACAGCCTGGGAAATAGTGGTTCTAGGGCCATTCGATACTGGGGCACTGTCCCTTAGGTAAGGAGCTCCGGTGGTGCAGTGGTTAAGGCATTTGGCTGCTAACCAAAAGCTCACCAGCTGGTCCACAGAAGAAAGATGAGGCAGTCTGTTTCTGCAAAGATTTACAGCCTTGGGAACCCAATGGGGGTTTCTATGAGTTGGGGCCAACTTGATACCAGTGACTTTACTTTTTTTTGTTTTTGTCCGTTAAAACCCCCAAAAACAAACTCATGGCCATCGAGTTGCATCTGACTCATAGCGACCCCTCCTTGGGTTTCTGAGGTGATTTCACTATACTAGATTGCCCCATCTTCCTTCCCAGGAGTGGCTGGTGGGTTTGAACTGCCAGCCTTCTGATTAGCAGTCAAATGCCTTAGGCCCTATGCCACCAGAGCTCCCTAGGCATCTCTGTAACCCAGGTCAGGCTGTGAGGAGGGTCACAAAGAAGGCTGAGGACCATGTAGAGCTGTGCTGCCCAGTATGTCCACAGGTAGCTATTTAAACTCATTAAGTTAAAATTCAGCTCCTCAAACACTAGCCACATTTAAAACGCTCAATAGCTAGATCTAGCTACTGAGCTGGATAGTGCAGATAATAGGGCATTTCCGTCATCACAGCAAGTTTTACTGGACAGAAAGCAGGGGAATGTATCCATGGGTCCTGGGACCTCAGAACTGGGACCTTGAAAACCGTCTAGCTTGACTCCTCTCTACCACCATGCATGCTTGAGTGCCTTAAAAATGTGTTCCATTTGCAGAAAGTTTCTGGGCAAAATGGTTAAAATATACTATGTTTTGGTCTTCAGTTGGTTATTTGAAAAATTGTCTTCTGTTCAGGATTATTTTGTTTCTCAACAACCGTGTATTAAATAATAGATGCTGTGCTATGAGCCGGGATGTGATGGAATATTGTTAATAATAATATAGGATTATACTAACAATATAATCCTATAATATTAATATTAGAATATTACTAATAAATAATATTAAGTATGGGCACTCTGGTGGTGTAGTGCCTAAGGCATTTGACTGCTAACCAGAAGGCTGGCGGTTCAAACCCACTAGCCACTCCTCGGAAGGAAGACTGGGCAATATACATCCGTAGTGATACCGCCTTGGAAACCCAAGGAGGGGTCGCTATGAGTTGGATCTGACTCGATGGTAGTGAGTTTTTAGAGTTTAATGTTGTTGTTGTTGTTATGTGCCGTCGAGTCGGCCCCGACTCATAGCGACCCCTCCTTGGGTTTCCGAGGCAGTATCACTATGGAAGTAGGATTGCCCAACCTTCCTTCCGAGGAGTGGCTGGTGGGTTTGAACCGCCAGCCTTCTGGTTAGCAGTCAAGTGCTTTAGCCACTATGCTACCAGAGTTTAATATTAAGTATTAATAAACCATAGTTAACCCTCATTAAGGGCCAGATACTGTTCTAAGTGGTTTTACAAGGATGAGTTCATTTAACAACCCTATGAAGTGGGTAACATTATTATCTCCAGCTTACAGATGAGGACATTTGGGCACAGGGAGGCAAAGTACTTGGCCAAGGTTACACAGTTAATAAGCAACGGTACTGGGCTTCTAACTAGAGTCACTCTACTCTGGAACCTGGCCCTTAACTACTGCCTTGCATTGCCATAAATAACAGTGTTCACGTGCTGAGTCTCCTGCTCTATTTTCCATCCTTACTCAGTACCGTCCATTGGTGCTCTTGCCCTGTTTTTGAGGATAAGGCCCAGAAAGATTAGAGAGATGGGCTGTGTTTGTTCCACACACCGCTTCTCATTGGCAGGACTACACAGGTTCAGCGGCCTCCCCTTACCTGGCAGGTGTCTCTGCGGCCCTCTGGGTAGCCAGCACACAGCATCCCTGGCAACAGCTGGAAGGTAAGGTTGAAGGGGCCAGGCCGGTTGTAGAGACACTGACAAGCAGCCTCTCCCAGCAGCCTTAACTCCACTTCCTGTAGTGTCCAGGGCAGAGGCAGGGGATCTGGGGGCAGAAGCAGAGAACAGAGGCTATAAAGTGGGGTTGGAGACCCCAGCTTCCCAGGGAGGGCTCGGCTTTGTCTCCTCCAGCTGCTTCCTGGACACCTCAGCCCGCCTCATCCAAAACCATCATCTCCTTCTGCCTCTGTCTGTTCTTTCTGTGTTCTTCATGTCGAGAGAATGGCTCCACCAGGTACCAGGTGAGAGCTTCTGTGGATGGTTGTGCAGGTTGTGTACTGCATAAAGGCCCCAGCCAACAGAAGATACATGGAGGGGCAGAAATCACCAAGCACGGAGCCCGGATGTGGGATTGCATTGGTCCAGAGAGGGCAACTCTTTTGCAGAGATGTCGTATAGATTAGATGTGGCCCTGTACCAAGTTACCAGATCTGGACTCTGGGCATCATGTCTTTTCTTTCTCTCAACACCTCCTCCCCAGTCAGTTCCCAAATCCTAAAAACCTGTCATTTGTGCCTTCTTGGCATTCCCACCGCAACTGCTGCTTCACTTGCTCCTGTTCTAAAGCTCAGGTCTGATTTTACCGGAATAAATGGATCCCACTGTCCAAGCCTGGGGCCTCTGCCCTTTCCTGAGATGAACCTGTATTTGATGAAAATGAAGTCTCAGGATCTAGAAAGGGGTGAGGAAAAGTATGGGAAGGGCCCACTCGAATCACGAGAGCTCAGGTGGTGGCTGAGACTGTACTTGGGGGTCAACCAGGTTTGAGGATTGCCTGGGGAACCCCTGCACATGATGGGGTCCTCTGGCCCTCGGTCTGACCTAAGGCCTTGGCGGTCCAGTCTTAGCCACTGTTGCAGCCCCTGCAGCCTGTCTGCGCTCTAGCCAGGCAGACTGGCCCTTCTTCATCTCAGATGCCTCACCTGGGTCCCCAGCAAGGCTTCCATCTCCTTCCCCACCACATTTCAACTTATGCCCTCTCTTCACAAAACCTCCCCAGAATCATCTTCAAAGCCATCTAGATCCAACAATGGGTCTGTCCTCGTCCAGAGCAAAGAAGAGTGAAGAAAACCAAAGATGCATGGAAACAATTCATCCAAGGGACTAGGGGACCATGTGATCCCCAGCCTATATGACCATGAGACCAGAAGAACTAGATGGTGCCTGGCTACTACTGTCAACCACTCAGAAAGAGATCAGTGCAGTGGGAGAACAATGTGGAATAAAACTCAAAATGAACAAATCATTAAAAAACAAACAAACACACAAAACACCTGTTTGTTGGTCTGATAGAGCCTGGTGAGACTCCTGAGACCCTGGCCCCTACTTATCCTTCAGGTCTGGAACCTAACTCACCTCTGTGCCTTCCAGCCAAACAGTAGGCATGTAGGGTGAACATTGACTTCAGGTAGATACACTCCTTAGAGCGACCAGTCATGGAAGAACACAGAGGCAGTGTTTGCACAGGGAGATAGCTTGGGGGGCAGGAACGAATAGGAAAGAGGGACACAGGGAAGAGGTAACTACAGGGAGGGAGTGGGAAGAGAGCTGTTGTGGGGAATTGCAGTCAATGACATTAAACGAAATGTGTGTGGAAAATGAATTTGCTCTGTAAACTTTCACTCAAATCACAATAAAAATTTTTAAAAAACAAAAACCAAACCCCTCCCTAGACTCTCCTGCTCTGGGTACCCTTTGTCAGAGTGTGGTCTAGCCCATCCCCATAGACCTCCCAGGTGCTCACAATGCCCCTTCCTTGTCACCTCCTGCCCTGATAGTGGCCTGAGGCCCCAGAAGCCAGGGCCTGTGGCATCTCTTCTTCCTGGAGCACCCTCCCCAGTCTAGCCCATCCCCATAGACCTCCCAGGTGCTCACAATGCCCCTTCCTTGTCACCTCCTGCCCTGATAGTGGCCTGAGGCCCCAGAAGCCAGGGCCTGTGGCATCTCTTCTTCCTGGAGCACCCTCCCCAGAGCCCAGCACCGGCACAGGTCTGGTCACATTGTGGGAGCCTCGCTAGCATGAAAAGATGGCTTTGGATGATGAGGAATGGAAAAGTGGGGGCCCGTGGTCTGTTTCCTCTCTACATCTTAAGAAAATATACACCCACTAGAATGTAAGCTCTGAAAAGGCAAAATTTTCATTACGTTCACTGATGGTGCTCCAATGCCTGACACAGGGCCTGGCACATAGAAGTTACTCCAGAAATCTGTTGCACTGAGCAAATGGATGACTGAATAGATAACTGAATGAATGGGACTGAGTAGGGAGAAGAGTGAAGGAGATGAGGGTGGGTGTTGAGACAAGAGGGGAGGGAGGACAAGGTGGGAGGGAGAGGGGAGGAAATGAGGGTAGAAAGTGGCATTTGCTGAACACCTACTATATAGTAGGTACTATGCCTTAGTATAACTAACTATACTAAAGGAGCTGTGGTAGCATAGTGCCTAAGGCACTTGACTGCTAACCAGAAGGCTGGCGGTTCAAACCCACCAGCCACTCCTCGGAAGGAAGGTTGGGTAATCCTACTTCTGTAGTGATACTGCCTCGGAAACCCAAGGAGGGGTGGCTATGAGTCGGGGCCGACTCGACAGCAAATAACAACAACAACAACATGCCTTAGTATAGTATGAGTTGGGGTCGACTCGATGGCAAATAACAACAACAACATGCCTTAGTGCCTAAGGCATTTGACTGCTAACCAGAAGGTTGGCAGTTCAAACCCATCAGCCACTCCACGGAAGGAAGACGGGGCAATCTACTTCCATAAAGATTTGCCACCTTGGAAACCCAGTGTGGGTCACTATGAGTTGGAATCGACTCCATGGCAGTGGGTTTGTTTTGTTGTTTGATGCTTTAGTCCCCCCCCCCTTTTTTTTTTTATGTTTTTCTAAGTATTTTATTGTTGTTAATTATACAAGTATGGGAGGATGTATACATGTACTACATATCAATTTTATTAAAACCCAGCATAAGGAAGCAATCCTAAAATAAAAGTAGTGTGTGCTGGTGGCAGTAGCTGTCATGGTAACAGTAATAGTAGTAGAAGCACTTGTTAGTTGCCATCAAGTCTGTTCCAAGTCACGGTAACCCCATGTGTCTGGAGTAGAACTGTTCCTAGTGTGTCCAGGCTTGTCTTCCAAGGTGCCTCTGGGTGTGTTTGCCCTCTTATCTAGCAGCCTAGCTGTTTGGTTGCCAAGGGACTCCATAGAACTAGTAACCAAACCACAACCAAACTCAGTGCCACCGAGTCGGACTCGACTCATAGCGACCCCTCCTTGGGTTTCTGAGGTGATATCTCTACAGAAGTAGATTGCCCAACCTTCCTTCGGAGGAGTGGCTGGTGGTCTTGAACTGCCAGCCTTCTGGTTAGCAGTCAAGTTCTTAGGCACTACGCCACCAGAGCTCCCCAACCTTGATCACCTAAGGTAAAAATATCTAAAATACATTAATTACTGCCATGCCCACCACTCATCTGTCAGTTTGTCATACTGTGGTGGCTTGCGTGCTGTGAGGCTAAAGGGTATATGCCACGGGTATTTCAAATACCAGCAGGATCACCCATGGTGGACAGGTTTCGGCCAGGCTTCCACACTAAGACAGACTGGGAAGAAAAATGGGACTAACCACTTCTGAAAAACATTAGTCACTGAAAACCTTATGAATAGCAGTGAAACACTGTCAGATATATTATTGGCAAATTTATGGCGCAGGACGGGGGCAGTGTGACATTCTGTTGTGCATAGGGTCGCTGTGAGTCAGAATCAGTCCGGAGCACCTAACAACATTGCTTTGCCAGGCAGCGTGCTATAGACTTTCCATGGACTTTTCTCATTTAATCCGCCCAACAATCCCATGACAGGGGTACTATTTTCCTCCTTTTACAGAAGAGGAAATGCACTGAGTGAGGTTAAGCGTTTCATCTGAAATAGCAGAGCTAGGATGGCAACTCTAGGCGGACCCTAAATTCAAGAAAGAAAAACCCGGAAGGGAAGGAGGGATGAGGAGAGAGTGGGTGGGGGATAACCCTGCGACCTTGGTTTGAGAACCCCTGGGGAGGAGGGTGGTTTGAGAGGTGCAGGATTTACCGGCGGCCAAAGGACCAGCCCTCTGAGGTTCCAGCCCCGGCTCGCGTCCCTCCCCGGCCCTGCTAGAGTACCTCTCTCTAGGACCCCGCGGCTCCGCCCCCTAACCGGCCCGCTAAAGGACCTCTCTCTAGGCCCCGCCCACTCCACCCCAGGACCCGCCCTCGCGGCTCCTCCCCCTAGCCGGCCCGCTAGAGGACCGCTCTCTAGGCCCCGCCTCTGGGCTAGCCCACTCCGGGGCCCCGCCCACTCCACTAACTGGTCTCCTGAATGTTGCCCCAGGACCCGCCCCCGCAGCTCCGCCCCCTAGCGGGCCCGCCTGAGGACCACTCTCTAGGCCCCGCCTCTGGGCGAGCCCACTCCGGGGCCCCGCAAACTCCGCTCACCTGCCTCCTGGATGTCGCCCCAGCCGGTGGCCCAGCAGGCGGTGCCGTGAGCCAGGCGGTGCGAGGCGCGCGGCAGGCAGACCGGCCGCACTGCGGGGCCCAGGATGGCGGGAGCGGTGAGGCGCAGCAGGGCCAAGTCGGCGCCCCGTTCCACGCTGCTGTAGTTTTCTGGCACCAGGATGGCGGCCACTGCGCGGACGTGCGCACCGTCCAGGGGCCCGTCCTGGGAGTGCACGCCCAGAATTACCGACCACTCGTCCGCGGGCTCCAAGGTCCCGTTCCTGCGCCAGTACCGAGGCGGGGGAGGAGGGTTAGGTTGATCTTATGGAGGGGCAAACCCTCGTGGCAGTAAGGGCTCAGAACCAAAGGAGGAGGTGGGGTCAGTTACGGATTTGGGGCTAAGGACCTGGAGATCTTGGAGGTGGTGACTGAGAGCATTGGAAAGATGGGTTTCAGGCTTGGGTATGTGGAATGGTGGAATGGGGCTGATGGCGGCCTCACTCCCACTCACAGCCAGGATACCCAACCAAGCGTCTGACTTTGGGACGGGAAGGGGGAGGAGGCTGGTCTCCAGGTTAGCTTCCAGGAAATGGGGTCTAGCTGAGGGCAGGTTTGGCTTTTGGAGGATAGGGGCCAAGTAAGGGCAGCTACTCACTCCACAAAACAGTGGGCAGCCGAGAGGACCCAGGAGGGAGCGATGAGGGAGCCCCCGCAGACGTGCGCCCCCCTCTGATGCAGGCTCACCTGCCACGGCCAGGTGCCTGGTTGCGCATCTGAGCCCCCAACGATGCGGGCAGAGGGCTCAGGGCGCCCGCACTCTGCAATGGGGAACCCTGGGAGTCATAGCCTATTCTCAACCATCCCAAGGGCCCAGGTAACTGTGGGCAAAGCCCTACACCCGCCCCCACCACTCTGCTTTGGGTCCCCCATTTGAACAAAGACCAGAGAGGACCTTCTACGAAGGAACTTCTTGGTTTCTGATCACTTCTGCCTCCCTCATCACCTTGTGTGCCCTAAGTTGTCTCATAGTGACCCTAGACCCTATGTGATAGAGTGAAACTGCCCCACAGGGTTTCCTAGGCAGATCTGTAGGCTTTTATACTGTCTACCCAGCTCTTAACCCAAGCACCTCTTTCTCTCATTTCCTAGCCAGCCTTAACCTCCTTTAACGTCTGAGGACCCCCAAGCCTCTTCCTTACCCAGAACTCCAGGTTCTTCTTGAGTAGGGCTGAGAGCTGGGGATCAGAGAGAGGAAGACACTGAGACTGCCAGCCCGTCCACCCCACTGCCCAGACCCCATTTCTTTCACTCTCTACCTTCCTGTCCCCCAATCTCCTGCCCTTTTAGCCACCCCACCAGTACCCATGCTACTCCTGCCCTATGAACACGACATTCCCTCCCGGCAGTCTTACCTGAGTCCTGGAAGACTCCTGGAGTAGAGCTGATGGCTGGGAAGATGGAAGGAAGCAGAAAGAGACCGTTGTTGTGTTGTTACATGCTGTCCAGTCGGCCCTCCTTGGGTTTCCGAGGCAGTATCACTACCTTCCTTCCGAGGAGTGGCTGGCTGGTGGGTTTGAACTGCCAGCCTTCTGGTTAGCAGTCAAGTGCCTTACACACTATGCTACCAGAGCTCCCTAGGAGGAGACTGGGGACCTATAAATCTGTGATCTTTCCAACTCCTTTTCTTCAGCCTTACTGCTTCTCCATCCCCCTGCCTCTGAAACACTCTTCCTCTCTCTCCCTGTCTCCCCAATTGCCTCCCTCTTCTGAGACCCTACAGCCTTTCCTCCACTCCACTTTCCTTCCCGCTCTGACAGCCCATTCCCCACCCAGAACCCAGGAGTCCTGCTTGCCAGCTCCCCATATGCCAGGACCGAGGTCCCAGTCATCCGCTGTCCACCAGGGTTACCAAGGATCATGAGTGGGAGGAGCCGGTGCTGGGTCATAGCACTTTAGAGTCAGCTGGAGGCACAGGGATGCATAAAGGTCTGCTCCCTGCCACAGCTCTGTCACTGCCTAAGAAGCCCGTGACTCCCAGATGGTCTCAGGAACTGCCCCACCCTCCCTGGCTGGAGCCCATCTCTGGGAATCTGAGAGGATCTGGGGCTGGAAGGGGGAAGTAGGGAGCCTGAAGGCACCACCCAGAACCCTGTGAGCATCTCATAGCCCTAAAGGCCCAAATGGGGTGAGGACCAGGTGTCCTAGCACCTGTGGGTGAGGGAGGGAGGGGTGGAGAACCTTGTGGCCAAAAGTGGAAGGAGACAATAGCCTGAGGCTGAGAGGCCAGTGTCCTGGGTCCTTGGTGAGGCAGGGCTGGGGCTAAGCAGTGGCCCTTGGGACAGGGGAGGTGGGCCCTCACTGGTATGACTCACCTGAGACCTCACCTCTGTTTGGGGTGCGGCTGCCCCAGTGGCCTGGCTTTTTCTTCTCACACAGCTCTGGTTACTGGACTTGCTGGCCAGGTTGGGGCGGGAGCCCTGGGGAATTCAATCTCATCCCAACAAAAGGATCACAGATGCTGGCAGGCTGGGCAGGCCATAGGGATGCTGGGAGAGGGCCACAATTACTGTTTTTACAGGGTATTGTATGAAGTGATGTATCCTGAACGTGTAATTTTGCAAAACTTTAATCTCATTTGGCTTTTTTTACTGGGAGATAAACCTTATATTTCTGGGTTCCTGTGCATTATTTGGAAATTTCCTTTCTCATGATGATCCCACATGCATGCGAATATGTCATCTTCAGGTGCCCTAAATTGTATGTGTCTATCAAGGAATCTAGAAAGCGGTGCAGAATCCAGAGGGACATATGTGTCCCACTTAATTTTACCCCTGAGTCCAGAGTAACAAGCGTGTCCCACATAATCCTACTCCAGAGGGATATATATGTCCCACATAATCCTACACCTAGAGTCAAGAAAGACATGAGTATCCCACATAATATGTATCAAAATCTGTATTTCAGAAATGCTCCTTGATTCACCATACCTTCCATTCATGAAAACACATGGTATCAGCAAAAAATTCAAAGGAAAAATCAGTAGGTCATGAAGGAAATATGTATTATGGTTAACTATGTATTGTGGTTAAGGGAAACTAACAAAGTGTAAGACAACTAGGTAGCAACATATTAGCTACAGTGTAGCAACAATGACAAGCCCTTACTACCCCTAGATCTGCAGGGATGAAGGGAGGGAGCAGTCACTGGAACCCAGAAGGAGCAACAGCTGTAGCAGAGGCCGCCCCCTTCAATAGAGGAATGCAGCCTCTGTCAGCCTGTGGCCCAGCAGGGAGGAAGGGGGGGCAATAAAAATCCCCACCTCACTCTCCTTTCACCTTCTGATCACCTGCCAGCTCCTCCCATTGCCTGAAACTAACCAGACACCCAGAGTACAGGGGACTCCATGATGTGGTCCATGAAGGTCAGTCTCTAGGGGAAACAAATCAGGGTGGAGAGAGGCAGAGAGTCGACATGGAGGGTCACACAGAGAATATGCACACATATATTCCTATTTTCTCACCAATAATACAGGCTAGTGGTAATATTACTCTATTAGTCCAATTTCCCTAAAAGACAGAATCCAAGGCAGAGCCCACATGCTTGTCCTTTATGGGGGCTGCAATCCCAGGACATCTAGAGTGAGGGGAAAAGAGAAGCGAGACTGGAGGAAATGCTAATACAAAGACCCACCAGTTGTCTGATCCCAAGGCAAGCATTCCAGTTAGACTTGAAGGGACCCAAGTTTGGAGCCAGTCACCACACGGGGTAACAGCTTCAGACTTAATGCAATCCCGGGTTTTCTCAGTCTCCTCAGGCACTCATTTATCTTGTCAGTTCTGTAGGCATCTGCCTACGGAAGGATAAAAGGACCAGTCATTCATTTAATGAACAATGAAAGCAGGCAAAAGGAGAACAAGCATAGGGAAAGAGAGGGAGTGCGCTATAATTACTGTACAACACGCGTGCTGTGAAGAGCCCGGCCTTCCAGTGCTTGTCCACAAACATTTGAGTCTCAGGATGATTTTCCCTGTTAAAAAGTATTGAAGAATCTGAAGAGCTTTTGCTTGTGTGAATTATATCTGTCAATATTTACTGTATTTGAAATCTAAAAGGAGGAATATTTAAAATATTTATTCATTTAATAATAATAAACATGTTGTTGTTGTTGTTATGTGCCGTCGAGTTGGACCCGACTCATAGCGACCCCTCCTTGGGTTTCCAAGGTAGTATCACTACGGAAGTAGATTGCCCCATCCTCCTTCTGAGGAGTGGATGGTGGGTTTGAACCGCCAGCCTTCTGGTTAGCAGTCAAGTGCCTCAGGCACTACGCAACCAGAGCTCCCAATAATAAACATATGTTAATGTAATTAACATTTTTTCCTTAAATAGTACTTATTTTATCATTGTTGAAAATATACACAGCCAAACATACACCGATTCAACACTTTCTGCATGTACGTTGATTATGTTCTTCAAGTTGTTTGACCATTCTCACCCTCCTTCTCTGAATTGATCCTCCCTCATTTCCATAAACTCACTGCCCCCTCCGTTCCTATCTAAACTTAGGAGTTGCTGTTGTCAATTTGATCCCACATAGTTCTTAAAAGAGTATAAACCTCAAGAAAGACATTTTTTACTAGTTTAGCTAAATTACTGTTTGGTTTTAAGAAGACTTCAGGGGATATTTTTGGTTTAAGATTTTTTTTAAAAAATTTTTTATTGTGATTTGGGTGAAAGTTTGCAGAGCAATTTCGTTTTCCATACAGCAGTTCATACACATTTTGTTTCATGACATTGACTGCAATTTCCCACACTGTAACAGCTCTCTTCTCACTTCCTCCCTGTAGTTACCTCTTCCCTGCATCCTTCTTTCTTATGCACTCCTGCTCCCCTGAGTCATCTCCCTATGCAAATACTACCCTTCTGCTCTCCCACGATTGTTCTAAGGAGTGTATCTACCTGATGTAAATGTTCAACCTATATGTCTGTCTATTGTTTGACTGGAAGCCATAGGAATGAGTTCAACTCCAGACCTGAGAGGAGACTAGGGGCCATAGTCTTTAGGGTCTTACCAGGCTCTGTCAGACCAGCAAACCTGTTCTTTTTTTCTTATTATAATTTTGAGTTTTGTTCCACATTGTTCTCCCACTCTAGCCAGGATCTCCTGCACTGATCCCCCTCCGAGTGGTTGACAGTGGTAGCTGGGCACCATCTAGTTCTTTTGGTCTCATGGTTATATAGGCTAAGGATTGCATGGTCTGCCGGTCCTTTGGACTAATTGTTTCCATGTGTCATTCCTTTTCTTCGTTCTTTGCTCTGGATGAGGAGAGATCTATTGTTCCATCAGATAGATGCTTGCTAGCTTTTAAGAACCCGGTCGCTACTCACCAAAGTAGGATGTGGTGTAACGATTAAAGATTATCTCAGGGCAATAGCTTCAGACATTTATACACCCTCCATGGTTCCAGAAGCTGTGGTGTGGCATAGTGCCTAAGGCATTTGACTGCTAACCAGAAGGCTGGTGGTTCAAACCTACCAGCCACTCCTCAGAAGGAAGGTTGGGCAATCTACTTCCATAGTGATACCGCCTGGGAAACCCCAGGAGGGATTGCTATGAGTCAGATCCGACTCGATGGCAATGAGTCTGGTTCCAGAAAGTTGGGAGCCCAGAGTCATTTGAAATTCTGCTCTGCATTATCCTCCTTCGGATCAAGATTCTTCGATGGAATTTTTGATCAAAATGTTCAATAATGGGCACCATCCAGTTCTTCCTGGTCTCATAGCAAAGGAGGCAGTTGTTCATGGAGGCAATTAGCCATACATTCCATATTCTCCTCCAATTCCTGAATCTCCTTCTTCCTCTGTTTCTCCAAGCAAATAGAGACCAACTGTTGTAACTTGGATGACCAGTTACAGGCTTTTAAGATCCCAGGCACTATGCAATGAACTAGAAGGTGGAACAGAAGTACTCAATACTTTATTAGGCCAAGTAACTGGGATGTCCCATGAGACCATGACCCTAAACGTCCAGATAAAGGAACCAAATTCCATGAGGTACAACTTTTCCCAATTCAACTTTTTACAGGTATACAATAATTGACAGCAATTAAAATAATCAGTTGTGCAAACCTACCCTTCTTCTTGTTGTTGTTAGATGCCACCATCTCACCATGTCAGCACCAACTCACAGCAACCCTCTGTGCAACAGGATGAAATGTGGCCTGGTCCTGCGCCAGCCTGACACTCCTTGCTACGCTTGAGCTCATCCTTGTCAATCCATCCACCACTCATCTGTCAGTTTGTCCTACTGTGGTGGCTTACGTGTTGCTGTCATGCTGGAAGCTATGCCACAGGTATTTCAAGTACCAGCAGGGTCACCCATGGTGGACAGGTTTTAACAGAGCTTCCAGACTCAGACAGACTAGAAAGAAGGACAGGGCCACTGAAAACACTAATGAATAGCAGTGAAACGTTGTCTGATATATTACTAGAAAACCCTATCCTTAATCAATGCAATTTTTCCATCACTGTTAACCTCTCCCTGCCCCGCCCTGACCCCCAGTAACCATGAATAAATGTGGTCTCTATAAACTTGATCTGAATAAACTTGGCCTTTTTCTTGTCTTTTTATGTAAGTGAGTTCATGCAATATTTGTCCTTTTGTGGTTGACTTATTTAATTCTGCATAATTCTTCAAGCTCCATCCATACTGTGGCTTAGATCAGGACTTCATTTCTCCTACTGACTGAGTAGTAGTTGTGGTGCAGTGAATTACTTGGTACGGCTCTTCTGGCCACAGTCTTTGTGCTTGTGGCCCACCAAGGGCATTGAATAGGTTGTTAGTGGTGCAAATAGGGTACATGGGGCCCTTGTGGGGGCAGGACTGTGCAAATAAGGCGCTTGGAGCCCTAATGTGGGGATCCATCAGTTTTGTCATTCCCTTAGG